AGTAACTGTAACAGTGTCATTTTTAACTGGATAAAAACATTGCTTAGATCTGGGTGCCTAATCCTGCTCCTGGAGATCTAACACCCCTGCAGAGTTTATTTCCAAACTGAAAGGTTGACTCGTCAGACCATTTGCACATTTCTATTGTGCATGAGTCCATTTCAGAGGGCCTTGGGCTCAGAGAATTCTGGACGCATTTCTGGACGTTGTTGATGTATGACTTCTGCTGTGAATATTACAGTCTTAACACGCATTTGTGGATGCAGTGAAGGATAGTGTGTATTGACAACAGTTTATTAAAGTGTTCCCAAGCCCATGTGGTGATATCCTTCACAGAAATATGGCATTTTTTAATGCAGTACCATCCAAACGGTCAAAGGTCACAGGCGTTAGTTTGTAGTTTTTAGTCTTTTCCTTTATGCACAGAGATATCTTTGGATTTCCTGAATCTTTTTGATATTATATACTGTAGCGGGTGAAATGCCTAAAATCCTTGCAATCCCTGGATGAGAAACAATATTTTTAAACTGTTGGGCCATTTGCTGATGCATTTTTGTCAAATTGGTGAGCCTCAACCCATTCTTGCTCATAAAGGACTCAGTCTTTCCTGGATGCTCCTTTTATATCCAAGCATAATTCCATCACCTGTCTAAGATATTTTTTAAAAATTACACTCTTAAACTTCTCCTTTTTGAAACATGTTGCAGACATCAATTTCAGAATGAGCATATGTTTACAAAAACACAATGTTTGTAAAGTAAAACTACTGTCCAAACTTTTTTGGAATTGGGTTTGTACCTTTCCTCCATGGATCCAGTTTAAAGGATAAAATATTATTGCAAAACTATCATAAAAAAACTACCCTAAACTATCATATAACAATGTCTCGAACATCAGGCAGTGCATCTGCAACCATTTCAGTGTGAGGTTGAGGTTGCTTTTGGACAACATAAATTCCTATTCCTATCCCATTCCTGTCACCACCACTGTGAACAATTCTGACTCTGCAAGTTTCTCTAGAACTTGAGCATTTCACATCAAACTACCCTCAATGACTTTGTTCATATATTAGCCATTAATTATGCAGAAATTTTGAAAATATTGGTGGAATTCCCCTTTAACTTTTAGGTAAGTAGGTAAGCAAATAAGTAAGTAACCTGACCGCCTAAAAAATTAAGGTCTCATTGAACTTCATATAATAAGCTTGAACATTGATCATTGTTCTGTTAATTTACTATTAAAAGTTAAACTAGCCAGGTTACTTTTTAAGTTGAAACAATGTTTAAAGACATTCACTCACATATACTTATATTTTTATGGATTTGTAAATAATTATTCTATTCATGTATACTCCTAAAAAAAATCCTACAATAAAACCTGGATGATTCTGAAACTCTTAAGAAAGGACTGAATTGTTTGACTCAGATGTTGTCCACATCTCAGTGCAACAGCGTTCCATGTTCATGTCTTTGTCTTCAGTTAACAAAATGAACTTGACTGCTTAAGCACATCATGCTTTTCACTGGAATGAAATGTAAAATGTATACAAAGCAGAATATTATACACACGCCAGCCAGCAAAAGTTTGGGGACACCTTTCTTTCTTTTGGAATTTCCAAATGATGGTTAAAGTAATGCTTACTTTTTAATTAAGTAAGAAAAAGACCTTTAGGTTTTGTAAGCATAAAAAAGCAATTTACTAAATCTTTGGATATGTTTAGCTTCAGCACTCAGCTTCATGCTCATCAAAGGGTCCTTCTTGGTCTGAACAGCAGGTTTTGCCTAAATAACCTGATAGTTTCTTTACTAAACTGCTACAGCTGAAAGGTTTGAGTACTGAAGAGTACTGACCTCAAAACGAGTGGGGTTTGGTATTCCTGAGGAAGCACTTTTGTTGCTTCAGTTTTGCGAACAAAAAATGGAAAAATGTAAACAGATTCATAGTTAATGTTGTGTAACTGCAAACAGACAATATGTTCTGTTAACAACATTTCGAAACGCTAGAAGTCTCAAAACTTTTTATGAGCAGTGTATTAAATGTAGGTCTACATTCAGTTACCATACCAAGCAATATACCAGATACAGTTATGTGCAAAAGTTTGAAGACCCCAGTCAAATGACATGCTTTGTGAATTTTCTAAGTTGATTTTCTCATACTCTACCAAGAACAGGTTCAAATATGTCATTTTTCTGCATATGGCTGTGCACAATATTTATTTATTTGCTTAACACAAAAAAATCATAAAATAGAAAATGAGCCATAACATCTGCACAGGTCGCATTTTATGTTTAATTTTTCTTCCAATATCTTAAATATACCAAATAAACAGTAATTGTGCATTAAAATATGCAGAAGTGTTTTAACTTTTTGTCACTTAGAAAATCAACAAAATGTCATTTGACCAGGGGCGCCCAAACTTTTGCATACAACCAAACATGCATCATTGGAGTACTTGTTTTAATTGATGTATCTCAATGATCAGTGACAGTTGGCTCCTCTTACATTGTTTCATAACTAAACTGCTGCATCCTGAAGGTAAACTCAGTGCATTTGTTGCTCTATTTACCTTCTCCATCCAGATTAAAACTAAAACTGTAAACAGTTTTCTCCAGCACGTTCTCCTCTTTGCCCGTTCTTGAACTGGAGGGTGGATGAAGTCACCTCTCACACCCACCCACCTCCTCCATAATCATCCTGCCATCCTTTACACATATAAACCCACCCCAGCCTCATGCCTACAAATACCCAAAGACACAGAGGACGGCATCACAAACTGACTAAGGGACTGACTGAGCAAGTTCGACCTGCTGCAGACAACTGCTGGAGAAAAAGGTAAAGCAGGAAAACAATTTATGCTCTGAAATCTTTCTCAGCCTGATGTCTTTTGCTGGATCTTTTGCTTTTATGAACAATACTTTTACTTGCTTTTGAACGTGAACTGTAGATTTGCACTGCATGTTATGCAACTGGAGACCAATTTCTACCCATAAACAGTGATGCACATTTATACATGCTATTAATGGAGCTGCAAGAACATTTTAATGATCTTTTGTATTTCCATTGTGTGTTTTTTTCCAGATGTTGCCCTACAAGTGTTTGCTGCCTGTTTTGGCTCTCTGCTTAATAGATGAGCTCTATGCGTTCCTGCTTCCAGACCGTCTACAGTCAGCCAGAGTGAGTGTCACTGGAAAAGCTGATGTGTTGCAAGATCACTTGTGTTCAATATTTTTGTACTGGAGCGTGATTGCAGGAATAGTTTATCAATTTTAGTCATATTTGTCTAAAAAAAAAACAGCTGACCCAACCAACTAACTAAAAAGAAAACAATAAATAAATAAGTAAATAAATAAATGCATGTTCTTTATATCATTACTGTCCAAAAACCAAAAACAAAGTAAATATTAATGTAAAGAGGTTTTTTTTTCATTTTGGAGCATTTCTACTGGTCCATTATTACATTTTCACAGAACGTAAAGAACAGTTGCTACGTAATGATGTAGAAAAATAGAAAAAAAAAGAACAAAATTAGAGATATTAACTCTGAGTAGTGGGGATATTGTGCTCCAAGTTCTGTAATACTGAGACTACAACTACGTAGAATATCAACAGTATTTCTGCATGTATTGCTGTTGTCTTTAAGCAGTCTTCTCTCTGTATTTCCCTCTGCAGAGGCTCAGCCGGGATGTGTCTTCTGACCTGTCTGAAATCTCTGACCTAAGTGAGTTTATGCCAGATAACTGGGGAGACATGACCCAGGACTGGGAGCCCAACCCGGCCAAATCTGTCACTGCCCTCTCCCCTCCTGTGGAGCACATTCCAGTACTGCCCAAACCCCAGCACCAGAAGAAAAAAGAAAAGAGGTGGGTGAAGACATTACACTAAAATACTTCACATAGATTCTTAAAACAAAAGATAATTAAGTCCCTTCCTTTATATTTGGTAGTATTTGCATCTATATATGTCAAAAGAAACATATTTTAATCCTAAACTCACCTGTTTTTTTCCTCACAGTAGGGCAAGGGTCACTGTCCCCCTGGACCGCATTGGTAACTCCTATCTGTCAAGCAGAAACAGAAAGGTGAGCATTCTGAAATCCTCTGACCAAGTCAATACAAATATTGCATTTCAATATAGAATGTCTAGAGGATTCATAAACAATGTGTAATTGTGATTATTTGAACTTGATTATTGCCTGCTATTGCATTGGTTGTGTATCTACAGTTTAAGTGAGACAGAAATGCTAACCACTTTATTTCTTTCAGGATGAACCTGAGGAACACGAGGAACATCTCGATGACTGATCATCTATCAATCATAAAGACAGTATGACTAATGTACAATATCAGCTGGACACGAGCAGATTAAGCCTAGTCCTGAACTAAAATACATCAACAGTGGGAATTCAAGTTAAAAGCCTTTTAGTCTACGGTTAGGCTTAATATGTATCCAGAAGACTGTATGCAGCAGTTTCTGTTCTTGTTATTTTTAACCTGTTATGTTTCAAGTTGTTTTATGTCTCATTGTCTAATTTATTTCTATTTAATATCGCCCTCTAGTGGCATGCAAACTGACAAACACTGTACTTGTGTGCCTATGCGAATTAAATTTTTTAACAAAGCACAACGATGCATGCCGAGTTATTTCAGAAAGAACACAATTACTCAAGAGAGAATTTCTGATAGGATCCCCAATAAAGAAAAGTTTTTATTTCTTCAGGTACAGTTAAAGAAAACATCAGATGCCAAAAATATAACATTTGCTTGGCTTTTCTCTTTGCTTTCATATATGTACAGTTCTCAAAGGATATGATATTTACAGAGTAAAATAGGAGAGGCAGGGGGAGAGTCTACCTTTTTTGGGGATTTCAAGAAACCCCCCACCTCTCCAACAAACAAACAAACAAAAAAGCAAATGTCAGAAAGAAAGTAAGAAAGAACGAAAGAAAAAAAAAATGCCACAACACGTGCAGCATAAACTCTTTTCTGTACACACACAAAAGAGAGCTGGTCTCCAAACTACTTTCAAAAGACATCTTGCCATGAAAGAGTTACACAATATCTAATATTCTGGGCACAATCTCAACCAGTTCTCAGACAAGAGATTAAAAGTCCATTTTAGCTTTTTTTAAAACAATAAATGAACAAAAAAAAATTAATTACAACTATTAACTCGGTGCTCAAAGAGCTTCACCAACCAGAGGGCTGCAGCAAAGCTCTTCAACACCATTCACTCAAAAGCCTCTCAAAAAGTTAACCTTCCTTCAAAAGTGAACCAAACAAAAACAGTTAACGCACGACGTACGCTCCAGGCTGACAGAAAAGGATGAGGGTGAGATAAATATTCCAATCTGAAAGTTAGCTGAATGAATGAGGCCCACAAAAAACGGACAGCAGTGTCTTTTGAAAATTGTTTGACAAATCAAATCAAATCCAACAAATAAATGTTCCCTCTCTTGAGCACTGAGTGAACTGGAATTGACAGTTAAGTGCTAGTTAATGACAGGATTGCCATGGTGCTGCTGAAAGGATCAAACACTGAGATAATAAAGCGCTAGTAACCTAGAGACCTTTGCACAATGCCTAGCTGTTAATATCTTGCGACACAAATCAAAATGCTTTAGTTAGAATAAAAATGATGTTGAGATCGTAGATCGATATGTCTAAATATGGTAAGTAAAGCAGTTATAACCTGTACATGGATAGTTCCTTCATGTGGATGGGCAAAACTCAGCCTCTGAGGATGTTCTCTCAATTTTTTTTAAAAAAGTTCTCATCTGAATACAACACCTTCTTCTAACTCTGTTATAAAGACTGCTATAAATAAGAGGTGAAGCTTCTGACTATCAGACTGATGTGACAGACGCGCCGATGCATTAGAGACTGGTTAGGTTTGCAAATAAACATGGAGATATTACTCTGATTATTTTAATGATATTTATGATTGTCAAATATGTAAATCATTCTGTGACATGTGCAGGAGGGACACCAACCATTTCTGACTTCAGAAAAACATTCTTTCTTTCTCAAAATGCAGTGTTTTCTTCTCATATCGAATAGAAAATGAAAAAAATGAAGGACGGGAACATTTAGGACTTTGAGAGAGAGTGTGTTCTCTAAGGGTCTTTTTTATGGCTCAACCGTCGAGCATCCCTGCATTTGTGGCAGTAGAAGATGTCTGGGACGTTGGACTTCTTGATTTTCGCGCAGGACAGGTGCACCCATATGCTGCACTGGTTGCACTCGATCATGGGCCGTCCAGCGAAGGGCTTCCCACAGTAGCAGGTGATCAAGTCCCACGAGTCGTCACCTACAAGGTGGAGAGAACAAAAATTAAAACCATAGATATAGTTGGTATTTTAAGAGCTAAAATCATGTCCCATCTTAGACTACTGCAGTTCATAAGTAATTAAATAATTAATTACTATGTCTTTTCTTCACTGGATGTTCATAATGAAAAAATGACTATTAAAGTGGAGACTGTTGGCCTAAACACCCAAGCAGTTTACACATATCGGGCAAGCCATGTAAGAGTTCTTCTTTCCTCATGCAGTCTTGCAATTTTAAGGCCCCAGAAGGTAAACTAGTGATTTTTCTTTGTCTTCTGCATGATAAAAATCTACCACAGAAAGTATACATCGTTACCATGCACTTAATAAACCATTTGTGGCCTTTGCAAATAACTATCTTTAGAGCTCTTTATTCATTTTTATTCTCTACTTACTTTTACAGATTTTATAGCCATAACAAAGCTAAAATGGTTTGTGCTATGTGCATCTGTAACAAAGAAGAGAAACAACTGAGAGGCGTGTGGGGCAATTATCATGACAATCAGTTTGGGAGTTCATGGGTTTATGTTTTGGAGAAAGTTTATGTTATATCGCCCCCTACTGACAAAGGGTCTCCCAAAATTCAAACACTCTCTCAAAGCAATGCATGGCACAATACCATCAAGTTTGGGCTATGTGTTGTTGGGGGAGGGAGTGTTTGACACCCCTCCGCATCTCAACCAAGTTAATCAAAATTACCATTCTAACTCAGAGTTGCACCATACACCTGTGCATCAGGTTGGGCAAGGCAATAAAAGCACTGTGGATTTAAAGTTATTGTAATGTGACACCACCCACTAAAAATTTTGGGATGTGACTACCATGTTGCTACTTTTTTATTTTCTTATTATTTTCTTCAAATTCAGATACCTGAGTAGATTCAACTCAAAACTGTGAAAGCCAAGCATTCACTTGATTTTAAGCACTTTTTGCACAGTTTTAATGTATAGATTTTTGAAAATAATAAAACGTCAAAACCTAATTAAAACATTTGCGCCACAGCACCACTCAAACATTGCCTGGGATGCTTTTCAGTAACAGTCTCCACCAGTCCAAACTAAAAAAAAATTAAAAAGCATGTCTATGTGCCATTGGACACTGCTGTGAAAGCAGTTTTGTACAGACAAAAATAAATCTAATAAAAATGTCTGAGCCCTATTGTGTTAGGAGCTTTACACCAACATGACCTCACAGGTTTTACCATAAGATCCAAACCTCAATAATAAACAACCCAGGTTATAGCATGCCAACAAGTACATAAAAACCAATTAAACTGAGTAAGACAAAGTTATGGACAAATAAGGATTATCGTAGAAATCCTATGGAAGCAGGACAGTGTGCACAACACACGTTTTTAAAGGTCAAGAAGTGGACTGCTGTTGATTGGCCAATTTAGTCAACCAACCTAAAACCCATCATGTATTTACTGACCACAGGATTGAAGGCCAAAAGCCTCTGAAACAAGCCAGAACTAAATTAGCTTCATTTCAGGGCTGGTAGAGCATCATCAGGAAGGATATCTAAGCATCTAGGCTTAGTAAACTGCAGCCATGTATATAAAACATAGTAGATTCATTTATTCATCAATTTAGTCCTCCAAAATTGGGGGAAAGATATAAAAATAGCTGTGTAAGGGTTAATATGATTAAAGTTTATATTCTTTAAAAGTCAATGTTTCATTTTAAGTCATCCCTTTTTCATGTGCTGCTGTACAGCCAAAAAATTTGCATCCCTGTCCAATTACTTACAGACTGTACATAAAAAAACTGGAACATGAAATATGACTGGAAAATATGTAAGTGCAGTCAGACATATGAACACACGCATTTAGGCCTTAGTATTTATCCATTTCCATCAGTTTGATTAGGTAAAGCCACTCACCCGACTCCACCATGATATCCTCATCCGCTATCCATGTCTCCCCTTCACTGGAGCTCATTTCTGCCTCTCTTGTTGCCTCCTCCCTTTCAGCCTTTACCAGGCTGCTTTCTTCAGCCTGCAGCCCATGCACCGGCACTGTTGCCCTGCCCGAGTGCTCCTCACCCTGGCCAAGGCCAGTCTCAGAGTCTGTCTCACTGGGTGCCGAGTTTTTAAGCTTCTTAAGGGCTTTAGGCTGCTTGGGGTTTTTGCTGCGTTTGATCCGGGCGCGCTTCTCCCCACCGCTACTGCTGCTATCTCCCGCACCCGAGCCAAGAGAAAGTCGCTTGAGCTTCTTGTCCTTCTTGCGCTCTGCTTTGCTGCCCACTTGACCCTTGTAAAAAGGGTCCTTTAGTCTCATTTTGTCCAACAGAGTGCTGTCAGAAGGTAGGCGGCGCATGCTCTTGACGCCTTTGTTCGCACGAGCTTTCCGCACAAAAGTGTGAATGGTGTGGAGGTCTGAGGTGCCATCCCCCCAGCCTGCTGCCATATTGGAGCTCGCACTACCTCCCATGCCACTTTCACCTGAGGCGCCAGAGCTGTGTGGAGAACTGGAGGAGGCTGGAGACCATGGTCTTTCCTATGAAGAGACACAGAACATGGCAATAAATGGATAACGGCAGGCCAACTTGATAAGTCACAAAATATCTAAAATAAATCACTTACTGGCAGCAGCCTTCAGAAAGAGAGGTCAATTCAGGAGAAAGGTTCACTCAGGTTGAAAAGTTCAGAAACAAGCAACGCTGTATTAGTGAGACTCACCTCTTTTGGAGATGGGATATACCCAGCATAGGCCAAGACAAAACTACAGAATTTGTTGAAGTCCTCCACAGTTCTCTTTCTTCTCTCTGGTGGCTGAAAGTTACAGTAACATTTTTGGTTACCATTATTGATTTCCTCTAACATGACAACACCATGATAATGACTGCTTACTTAAGACTTTAAACTCTTAGCTAGTTGCTTATACTTACCAGGGGCTCTGTTTTGCATTTCAGCAATGAATCTGTTGAAAAAAAGAAAGATAATAATGATTAAAAACGTTGGATTGTTTAATCGAGACACGTCGTTACAGATCTTATGGTCAACTTTATGATTCTGCCTCAAATATCTGTCCATGCGTGTGGTCTACGTTGTTAGCAGGTGGCTAAAGACGCGTTCGTAAGCTAACCTTCACCAAAGCGAGTCTGATGAACGGAGAGCATTTCAGTAACACCAGGAGACCATCTTAGCCATCCTGGCCAGCTCACACGTTGCTGACTCGAGTCTGCGTTTACTCATATTTTCGGGGAACTGACTGAACTAAGTTAACTTACAACGGCGGTACTCCACCTGAGAGACACCCATTGGATGACCCATCTGCTGAGTCTGAGCTTTCATAAAGACTATCGATCATCACACACCGCTTTATTTTTGACGTACAGGCGAACATTAGCTTTAATTAGCAAGCTGGCTACTGAGAAACGACAACAGCCTTTCCATTCGGTCTTGCACTTTAACGACAAGGCGTATGGAGACAGAAAGGCAAGGTACCACCTGCAAAACGCACGGCAAATCGTCGGCGACACATTCATTCATACCAACTAATGTTAACTGTTCACCACAAAAATATTTATTCTCGTAGCTGACGCGACTGCTAACTAGAGAAAAAATGCTAACGTTAGCGCGCTAAGCACGGCTATCTACGCCTCGCCCAGTGAACGCCACCTGTTTGAAGAGCTAGCAAGTTTAAGTAAAAGACAATTAGCTGTTTGTGCTGGTGAACAATTCCGACATTACTGTCCACGGTTATTAGCTAAGAAAGCGTGAAAGGCAGCTTCAAACGAGCAGGTTCACTCGGTTCTGTGGCTGAGAAAAAGCAAGGCAGTCGTGGTGAGTGTAGCCTCAGTAGCTAGCTAACCCAGCTAAGCTAACTTAGCTGACTCGCAAATTAACACTTCCTACATGAGGCGCATGTAACGTTATTCGGGGGTCCCCGAGGTCTTTTTTGTTGAAGAAGTTCAGACAACATGCTTAGCTCGCTTTCATGATTTGCTTGTTAACAGATTTGATCAGAAATCAGCATCAGCGTTAGCACACCACATCCATATTAACCAACGTTAACGCCAGCTAGATGACGAGCTAACTACGCTACGTTTTAAACTGGAATAAAGAGCACTGCGCGTCTTTCTGGTGCCAGATCACAACATTCATTAAAACAAAAACTCCCAAACCAGAGAATTCCCCATAGCCACTGAGGCAGAAGGTAATGATGCTTGATTTCAGCTGTGTAGTCAGTCGGCTTGCAACCTCTAAGTGGCTAATAATAGCCGGCTAACAGACCGATGATTGGTAATGCTACGAGCTAACTTAGTCAATTCTATATCCACGATCTTTTTAGTCCTTACCTTGGTGTTCAGACATTATCTCAAGCATTGTCACCTCAGCCACGAGGTCCTCTCGGCTTCGATGGCACTGTTCAGCGGCTCTTCACCGGCTTTGGGCGCAAATCCCCCCAGCCGGCGACGTGCGGAGCAGCTAGCCGACCAGCTAAAGCTAAAAGAGGCTCACACACTTTCTCCACACACAGGCGACAAAACAGGACGATTGTTCTTCGTCCGTCGCGTTATGAAAGACTACCAGACAAACTATACACGTTTTCGCGTTTCTTGGTGTCCGGAAATGTGTAATTTAACTTTCTGGTCTGCGAGGCAGTCAGCTAGATAATTTCTCCGTCACGGTGTTGCATAAATAATCCTGGCAGTGCAGACAGTTTGATAAACTTAACGCCGTGCAGTCCGAGTCAGCGAGCCTTCCGGAGACGGCAGATTAACCATGTTTTCTGAAGCCATCGTTTGTCGAAATGATCCGATTATCAAGCCGATTTTGGTTTCTAACAAGTGTAAGAACAGAGAGAGCGAAGTTCTCCGAAATACGACTGCGTGTCGTCCTCTCCTCGCCGCGCCGCGCCTCGCTCAGCCCCTCCGAGTCAACTGATTTCAGTGCAGGAGCGCTGCGGCCTCTGGCGGTCAGACCTCGCACAGCAAACGCGCTCTCAGATGCTTATGGGAAATGTAGTTTGACTGGCAAGAAGCCGAGTTTGTTCGAACTGCAGAGCAATTTAAAGGGACCATATAAACACATAACATCAGTTATGTGTTTATAAAAGAGTTTGGAGTTGTTTTAAACACTGTTTAAGTTTCAAAACCCACCATTTACTCCCCAGTCCACATGGCCCTTATATGGAAGATACAAAAACGAGCCATTTTGAATGAATTGTTTTTGTGATGCCATTGTAACCATATCTGGTTGCTATTGCAACCATATCTAAGAGAGAGGGAAAAGTTGGAAAATGGTCAGGTAAAAAATGAATTACAACTGCCTGACCATATCTCACCACTAGAGCTGCACAGGAAGACTGGGTCACTTTCTAGGACAACACGACTGATGCACCATGCAAAATAAATAAATAAATAAATAAAATAATTGAGAATGAAACACACTGATTGCTTATTTTCTAGCAAGACCTCATGTTTTATAAATACACCAAAGAACTGACAGAGGCCTCAAAGACGGTATTCACAATGCATCTAAACACTTAGGTTTATAATATCGTATCTACTTAAATGTGTTTGTGGCTTATATAAGCAAAGGTGATACTTAAGTTGTTACATTTATTAAGTTATATGTACATGAAAAATTTGGATGTATGTGTACTTCTATGCAATAATAATATTTGATGTTACGTCATACTTTTACTTTTACTCGAGCATATTTGTGGGGAAAGTAATCTACTTTTTACAGTCTGGTCATTAACGTTACATTAAAGGTACCAGGTCCTTGTTTGTGTTTAATTCCAGGCTATTAGAGATGGACTGAGAGCGAATCCACTGGGCGTGTTTATCTGCGGATGTGCTCACTAATCAGATACAGTAGGGGGCGATATGCACAACAACGTTGGTCTGCAGACCACCAGATTATAGCCGAAGAAGAGAATCATACACCGACATAGTTGAGCTGATACACATGGCTGAATGTTGCGCATTATAGACTGAAATCTCGCCTGTTTATTAAATCCGGTCTTCATGTATGTGTGAAGTGTCACCCCTGTATTAAGAGGAGAAGGACTCGGCGGCTCTCTGTGTCCTCACATCCGGACCGCCCTGTGCTCGACTGTCCGCAATGCTGCTAGAAGTGTCAGAGAGAACACAGTTCGGAGGAGTCGTTATTATTCGAGGTAACTGATTCTGTACTAGTTGTCTTAATTTGGTTAGTGATTGTTTTTTTATTGAATCATTTCTGGGCGGGTCAGAGTGTCGGACTGTTGGTCTGCATTAACAGTGCAGCTGAAATGACAGTAACGAGGTGCAAATGTCACTACAATCAGCTTGGCCTCTTGTTTATCAGTTTAAGAGATTGCACGATACCGATATACAAACATGGAGTATTGGCCGATACTGATCCAATATATAATAATGATAATGATGATAAAAATATATAATATATATTATGCATTCAGTGTTTTGTGCTTATGATAATTTTAATAGCCATCAGTGTCAGACTAATTAATGATATTGTACTAAAAGATTGGTGTATCAAGAGTGACACTAGAGTATTCTCACCTAGAATGAGTTGATTAAGCAAGAGTCTTGTTACAAAAACCATAATAGGACATTAAAGCCATAATTAATCCTTTAGTACTTTCATTTTCGATACATAAGTACATTTGAAGGCAAATACTTTTGTACTTTTACTCAAGTGGAGGACTAAAGAGAGGACCTCTACTTTTACTGGAGTATTATTTTACCTTGGGTATCTCTGCTTTAACTCAAGTACATTGTTTGTGTACTTCGTCCACCGCTGATATATATATATATATATATATTACACTAAGCTTGATTTTTTTTTAATTGAAACACTTCACTAAAAGGACAAATTTGCTGATTTTAAAAAATCCAAAATAATTAAATGGTTAAAATGTAAACAGAGTCATTCTGAGTGTTTTGATTTGAAATGATCTGTTATAGAGAAAATTATCGAGTCAGAATTGTTCACAGTGGTGGTCTGAATAGTTAAATTCATGTGAAGAGTTTAATTCTTCTAAAACCTCATTCACAGAGAATTATTACGTGACATGGTTACGAATGTTGTTGACTCTTGCCTAAGACATTGTTTTACAATGGTTTTGGATAGCGTTTTAGTCTTAAATTTGTTTTTTTAATGTATGTATATTATGAAGGCATATGTACAGGGCATTGAAAGGAAAAATAGCCCCCACAGAAAAGTTATTATTTCGGATTTACCACTGTTGTACCATCATCAACATTATATAGAAAAACTCAGCAGACACATGTAGGTTCCCTTGTGGTTTTGGATAGTAAATAAAATGACTATATTTGCCCTCTAGTCATCACAACCTTTGGCTATAATGCTCAAACTACTTAGTCACATTACTACGCCACAATAAGAAACACACAGCCAACAACATCACATCACACAGTGAATATGTGCTATTTCAGGTATAGATTTGTTACAGAATTGAATCAGATTTATTCTTTTTTTCCCTCCGATATCCAGTCCAGCTTATTCTGCTAGATTTGGGCCTGATACCAATACCCATATATACTAATATGCCATCTCTAGATATGATGATACGGTGACAGCTTGCCAAGAAACAATTGAGCAGCCAAATGTCCAATTACTTATGGTCCCCTAATGGAACTGTGTGTACAAAGGGCTTTAATTAAATCTGGCAGCCTGGACTTTATCTCCTTAGTCATTGTTTTATTTCACGTCTAATTGATTTGCTTAATACAACGAACTGTAATTCTGTGTATTTTTCCTTCAGACACCTCCTCTTATTCTGGACGTCACCTGCTGAAGTATTACATAAATTGTGCCTTAAAGAGGTATGTGGTTGCTTATACAAAGTTCTTTAAAGTAATTGATTATATTGATTTAAATTGATTAAATGTGTTATAATGGTACACATAGTGCTGGGCAGTATTTACAAAAGTCATTACATTATTATACAAATCATGGTTTTTGTTCTAATATGCATTTTCGACCACTTTCAAGAGTTTTCTTTTTTCCCCATGATATATGTTGTTGGGAGTGAGATGTAATTATACAACAAATATGAATTCTATATTATTATTAATACCGCCTTTATTAGAGAAATACAAATGTGTTTTCCATTATACGTCAGCTGTTATTCTTTCAGAAACTTGCTATGTCCAAAACAGTTACAAATGGATGTACAGCATTTTGGAATGAAACAAATATATCGTAGTATCTCAGAATGTGTTACAGATTTGATATAGCTTGTTTTGATTTGATGCTTTAATTCTGCTCAGCTTCACTTAAAAAGAATGGAACCTTACCCAGTGTTGTGGACTTTAACCTTATGGAAACCAGACTTTAAGACTGCTTATGTTTTCGTTTGTTATTATTATTATTTTTTATTTATTATTTATAGATTTTTTTTAACTGTTCTTTCAGAACAATTTGAAGCACTCAACAAATTACATACTATTCTATGTAAACAGTGATGGATAGAATACTGAAAAAGTCTATCAATGCTTGCATAGGATAGTCTTTATGTTGCTGTATGAAATACTTTGTGTATTTATGGTTCTTTTTTTGATTGGAAGAACTCTTCTGAGTTACATGTTGCTTTTTCAAAGGGAGGAGGATGTCCACGTGTTGGGTTTTGAAGTTCCAGAGCAAGAATTGCGTGCTGGATTGGACAGCAATTACATGCATTTGTGAGTCTGGGCAATATGATCTTAAAATAAATCAATTTTTATGCTTGTGCAGTTGATATCACAAATTATTTTTTGAGGAGCCAAGAGCGTTTTTTTAATAAAAGAAACACTGCCACTTTTTAGTTCTTATAGAGCAAGATGTTGTGAAAGGGAGTACAGTCTTTCTAAATGGAAAGTACTCAAACAGCTTTAAACGGCAGAGATGTATGATCTTTCGCAAGATGGTTTAATGGAATAAAAATGATAATGATAAAATGAAAATAAAATCTTATCAGTAGGTTATGGGGAAGTCAAAGGTACACAAGTTGCTACTTACACTAAATTAGAGATGGAAACATGTCAAATACAGTTTTTTGTTATCGATACACTAAAGCTTATGTGAAAAAAGTTTTTTTTGCAGGAAATGACATCATTACATAAAACATTGTTATCACTAAAGGTCATAATGATGGAAACAAGCTGCTGGGCAGCAAACAGTCATATGTTTTTAACGCATTTTCATTTTATCACTTGCAATTCGCACAGAACATTGATGGAAACATAGTTATACACTACATGTTCAAAATTATCAAGACAGTCTTCTGTGTAGTGAATTCAGCTATTTGAAGGTTCACCCATTGCTGACACTTACATCACATTGCACTTTTCTGAGCATATTATGTACATAATCATTTCTTAAAGAAACCCTGACTGACTGCATGTTTCTTTTTAAAGAGAACATAATTAGGTTTGTGTAACTGGATTTAGTGCAGCGGAGTGTGTGAAACAATGAATAAAAATAATTGTATTCCATGTTCCCATTTTTTTAAATGTGGCGTTACTGGTTCTTTTTTGTCTGTACCAACTGATCAAACCTCAGAAAAAATTAAATTGTGATATGTATTGGGCATTGGGAAAATCTTGTGAAGTATTATGATGTGTTATATTTTTGCCATATCGCCCACCCCAACCATCCAGCTTGTATAATCTCTACAGAAAAGTGTTGCCAGTAGAACGGGACACTCCAGAAAAGTCACACACAACTGTGCCCAAAGCCAAACATCAGTTAGAGGGTATAAAGCTCCCCAGTATTAGGCTGTGGAGCAGTGTAACTGTGTGCTCTGGAGTGATGGAGTTCCATTCAGTAACCTTTGCATTGTGAAGTGGCATTTGTGATCCAGAACTACTTATCCAACATCAGTACCTGACCTCACTAATGCTCTTTTGATGGAATGCAAAGTCCTCACAAATCTTCCATCATCTATTGTAGAGCCTTCTCAGAACAGTAGAGGCTGTTAGTGTAGCAACTCCATATGGACATCCTTGATTTCAGAAGAAAAATTAAATTAGCAGGTATCTACAAACTTCTGGACATGTAGTGTACTTGGTATATATTATTTTTGTGACATATTCTCTTTGTGCTGGTAGGTTTCACTTTCACAATGCGTACATTGACCCTTTGGGCTGGACCAAGCAATCCTCGTTCACAGTGAAGCAGTTCAACACAGCAGATGTCACACGGCTGGTCCGTGAGATACAACATGCTAAAGCTTCAATACTTGTGATTGACTCGTTGTCTTGGGTCATAAGGCATCATAATCCTGTTGCCATTTGTCAGCAACTTCAGGAACTGAAGAGAGGTTTGTCATCATTTTTCTTTTAATATTGGTAACTATTTGGTAAGATATGATTTGTATTACAGAATGTATATTTAAGAGAAATACAGGATTAAACACTTGGGATTACATATTAATTAATAGCACATATAATAGTAAAAAATAGTACATATTAATGCTTGCAGTTGTAATATATCGCTGCTGTTGGAACAAAACCTCGTATCTCAATTTTTGTCACTTTGTCAGTTTTTGACATAATTAGAAAATACCTGTTGCCTTTTACGTTGTGTTTAAATTTAATGATGAAACCCTGACCATAAGCACAGCCCAAAGTAGGCAGGTGCAGGCGGGCATGACGTGTAATTGAGGTGGGCAGTTGAGGGCAAAAATGGTGCTAGGTTTTGTGGGCTGGAGTGGGCAAGAATCTCACTAGATTTTGAGGATGCAGGAGGACATGATTAGTGGTTGATTGGGCAAGTGCTGGCATTAATAATTAAGCCCTGTTTCAGTGCACTTGTAATCATCAGATTCATACACTTAGGGAAGTGGTATGGAGCACAACCAATGTGACAGTGTTCTTTCACACATGCAATTACACATTTCCCCCAGAGAGGCAACTTTCATAGAGCAGCTTCAGTGTGTTGTCTGTCATTTTTTATGTTATATTCTGCATTCAAACTGCTCCCACCCTCACGTATCTTCCCCAAAACTGTTATAACTTTTCAAAAGTTCCTCCCACCTGCAAGCTCATGATCAGAAGGGGGTCCTCCTAGCCTTTAAACTGGAAAATCCCACACTACAGACTACCGCAGCACTGCTGTAGGAGGTGACTAGGCATGTTTACAGCAGAGGTAGTTGTGCTAAAATCTTCTTTTTGGCTGGATTGTCCTCTGTCTAAAACCTAACTATTAGACCTATTAGGCCACTTTGGTGATGTAGAGGTTGTTGACAATACTGTCGTCACATTAACCAAGTCATTTAAAAACCCTACAGGAATACCAGAACCTATACTTGCTCTAACCTGAATGACTTACTGTCTGGATTCTGATGCAAATATTTTTCTCTTTCACATCCAGGTGGCTCCGTGAGGATGATTTTTGGTCTCCTGCACACAGATCTTCATCAGCAGGGAATTGTAGACAGTATAAGCCACTTAGCCAGCACTGTAATCTCTGTAACATCTGTGAATCATGCACACAATGCTGTGGCCAAGACAATGCACCGTAAAAAATCTGGAAAGGTTATGCGAGAGGTAATTAAATAGTTATTCTTCGAAAAAACAAACAAATCTGGTCTTTAATGTGAAATTCTAGAAGTTTTAATTGTGAATGTAGTTGATAAATAATTGCTGCCCACAGTTATTTTACATTTGAAAGCTGATGAGAACAGCTATCTTGTCATCTCTTATCAGGAGGAGTTTTTCACTGTGAAAGATGACTTAACACTATCTGTAGAGAAAAGACCCAGCCAGTCTGGACATGTACAGATGCAGCCAGACACAAAGGTGAATTTGTCAAGTTTTGTTCCTAAGGCTTAACTTTTTGCTGTTCATCCACCACATTCAGGAGAATTTTTTTTTTCCAATATCTGTCCTTCTTTTTCTCCAAACTGCAGGCGGATCCAATGTCAAATTTGACCTTTAATCTTCGTTTGTCTGAGGTGGAGAGAGTGGCAAAAGAAAAGGTTGCTCTGCCCTTTGTCTTCAGCCAAGAAAAGTAAGAAGAGATTCTGGTGGTGACAGCATCTAAAGCTACACCAAATGTCAAAAAGTATCCAGACACCCTTCTAATTAGTGAATTCAGCTACTTTAAGATGCATCCATAGAAAAGCATTGCCAGTAAAATGGCATTCCCAGTGCTAAGTGTCAGTTAGAAGGATATAAAACCTTCCAGCATTAGGCTTTGGAGCAGTGGAGTTGCATTTTCTCGAGTGATAGAGCACCATCCAATACCTTTGGGATGAGTTTGATTGGTGTTTGTGATCCAGAAAAAAATCATCCAATATCAGTACCTGACATCGCATCTAGTGTAAAGCCTTCTCAGAAGAGTAGAAACTGTCACTGCAGCAAAGGGGGACAAACTCCCTATTAATACCCTTGATTTCAGAAGACACGTTGGATGAGCAAGTATATCTACAAACTTCTGGACATATAGTGTATCTTGCTGATATTAGGCAACATTTTCCCCGGTGGTATATCAAATATTTTTGGCTTTAACATAAATGGGATGAGGCGGGCAGGACAAATAACACACTGAATATAAAATGTGTGATGCAGTATCCAATTCATGCTGAAACTCAGGGGCTAAAAGAGAATTTGATTCTGTGTGAATGTTAAAACATGAAACTGTACATTGTACACTCTTACAATTGTTGCATCTTCATCTGTCACCAGGAAGTCTGCTCTTCTGAAGCAGAGTCAGGGCTCTGGAAGGATTATATATGAACCTGATGCCAGTGATGACTTTGATGAAGAAGATCCAGATGATGATCTTGATGTCTAAAATATGTTCATGGCGGGACTGACCTCTACAAGTGGTGGAAAACGCACTGAAACTCTTGTACTGGAGTGTGACAGTTAATAAAAGTAATCCGCCAACATTGTCCTATGGGAAAAGTTTAAAAGCACTTCTGGAAGTAAGGAAAATAAGTGCTTCATTTTCACGATTTATGACTAAAAAAAACCAAAAACATTCACTTTTTGCTGGTTTACCAATATAAATAAATATGAACACAGTTCATTTTTTTGTACAGAAAATATGTTGCAGTATTTTTTTTTTTTATTATTTTCTTTGGTGTGCTGTGATAATCATTGCCATAAACAATTAGTATCAAAAGTATCAAAGCAAATTATTTTCTCCCACGGTCTTTCTATATAGGCTATATATTTTCCCTCATAATGTCATTCTGCATGCGGTTTCTTAGAATAAAAATAGTGTGCCACTTGCAGAACCTTAAACAGGCCTGCGATCTTTTGGAGTTGTTGCTGCATTAAAGCTAGTACTGCAATTCCTGACACCACCAAGTCTCTGCTGACTATAGTAAGACATTTTAGATTTTACTCCAATGTTTCTTTATATCAGAAATTCAGTTTGAACAAGTAAAAGTGTGAAAATGTTATTAGTACTAATGAACACTTGAAATTTGATGTGACAAAAATAAACTTTTACTAATAGAGACTACCGTATATTTTGTAATGTAAGATTTCAGTTCTTCTTTTCCCAGTTCATTGTAATGGGAGAAACAATTTGTACTAGTATGAATTACATTTCATGATTCAATTTTCAAAAATTACATTTTGACATGTTCAAAATCTTTTAACGTTATGTTTTACAGTTCCAGACACTACTGACTCAGCAATTAACTTATAGAAAATGCATGGTGATGAACGGATAGTGCTGTCTGTGTGATATCTGTGGAAAACTGTTTCAGCCTTTGAATTAATTCAATTAATTTAAATCACACAGGCAGCACTGTTAGTTAATCAACATGCATTTTCTATTACTGTAAACTAAAAAGGGAAATCTTTTTTTTTTGTTTGTTTTTACTTTTTTCCAGATGCACCACTATTTTACCATTATTAACATTACATGTAAAAAAAAAAACTAAATATATACATTTATAAAGACAATTTCACATCGGGCCACTCTGAATTAAGTAGCTTAACAATTGAATTATATAGAATGTTTTTTTTTTTATATAAATAAATGGACTTTCTCTTTAAAGGGGAATTCCACCAATTTTTTTAAAAATTTCTGACTCAATATTTTTACAGTGGTGATGACATGAACCTGGGGTCACAATGCCTACCACACAAATATAGCTATTTTATTTACTATCCAAAACCACCAGTGAACCTGCACGTGTTCTGAGTTTATATATATATAATGTTAATAATGGTAAAATAGTGGAAAATCTGAAAACATAAGTTTTCTTTGGGGATTATTTTTCCTTACAATGCCCTGCTGTACCCAAGAATGCAACCAATAATAAATCAAAACCTTCATAAAACAACGTCTCAGACATCAGGCAGCATATTCATAACCATTTCATGTAATAACTGTGTGAGGGAGCTTTTAGGGGTGGACGTCTGGTTCCTGTCACCACCACTGTGAACAATTGTGAGTCTGCAAGTTTCTCGACAACAACACATTTCACACCAAAAAACTCGACTTTGACAAAAAAATGACTGTTTACATCTTAACCCTTTATTTATGTAGATTTTTTGGCAGAATTGGTGGAGTTCCTCTTTAAGGCCCTTGAGTCTGGAAAAGCAAAACCTGAAACTTACTGACATTAACATAAACCAACACTTGCAAATGAGGTCGTCTGTTTTAGCAGATCTGATCAGTTCGCCAAATACGTAGTGCTTATTACTGGCTAAGCGTGGCGGCAGAAATGACCTGTTTATCTGTTTACCATCCAGAGTAAACGCAGCACTTCTAGCTCTAGCTGAAAGCTAAAGGGACTCAACTTTAACTCTTGGGGAAGTGACGTCACGCCGAGGCTGGCAGTCCTGTTCCGGATCGGCTTTGAACTGTTTTTCAGCGGTCACTGACTTTTCACTAGCTCAGCTCAGCCCCGGCGGTCCGGCAGCAGGCAGGACACAGCCGCGCTTCATCCAGCAGCCGCTACAGGCTTCATTTACCTGTCCTTTCATTGCGTCCCAGAGCGAAGTGGACCGTGTGGACGGCGTCTTCGCCTTTATGCCTCAGAGAGAGAGAGAGAGCGCAGTGAGTTAGCTAACAGCGGCTGAGTTGTGTCTTCAGGGTTTGACTGAGCTCTGCTGCTCCTACGAGGAAACTGAACTACCTCCTTCAAGCCGCCAAAGTGAAACTTCATATGTGCCCTTTTACTGCTGCAGTTTTCCAGGTTGTAGCGCTCTACTTTTAAAGTAGTTCTAAGCGATGCACTGAGGAGGAGCGCGGAGCTCGGCGTTACACGTTACAGCCGGACAGCCCCTCTGGTCCGCTCTGGAAGGAAACGTGTACGTGTGGAGTGTAATGGTGGAGCGGATCTCCAGTCTTTAGGCGCCCAGCAGTTCACTCTCTCTCCTCCTGAAAGACAGACAGCAGCGCTGTTATGGTGGACATGCTGAAGACCCGTCAGTGTGCGCTCTGTGTCCGCACTTTCTTCGGCGTGACGTCCAAGATATGGAGCTTCTTTTTATACATTCTCAGGAAACACCTAAGGACGGTGAGTAGGACTGCTGCTCACAGCACTGCCTGCGTGTGCAGTCTGTCTGTGTAGCCCCTGAACATTGCTTTCTTTGAGTGCCAGGGAAATTTAAAGAGCCCTATTAACTGTAATAACCTTGTATTTTTTATTTTTTCCCCCTGAGGTCCATTTATGACAACTGTCTGTTTTTATGTCTCAAAAAACAGTCAAATAATTTTACACGACCATTTTCCAACCTCTTCTTAGACCTTAGAATTAAACAGGCAGTTTGTGTTACTTGTCACTGACCTAAGACTGATGTATGTAAATGAGCTTGTTTCTGTATTGTGCCTCATTCAAAAGTCAGTCCTACCTGAAACACTCCTTATAAATTAGTGAATGTGTGGAGCTGAATTGGCGAATATATATATATGTTCACTTAGTTTCCATATATGTTTTGTATTGGCTGGGAAGTGAATGGTACCTTTTGAAAGTTTGACAGTGTGTACTTAATACAAATAAAAGTATCAAGTTCTTTTTCTAAAAAAAAAAGTTGTCTGTGATAAGGGCCTTTGAAGACAACATATTTCACACAGGTGTAAAAGAGCTCTCCAGACAGCAATTCCACACTTTAGTCTCCTTTTCATATTAAAATGCTGCATAAAATGCTTATTAAAAGTGTCTTATTACTGATGGACCTCAGAGTATAATCGTAAAAAGTCAGTCGTTTGCTGTAGGTTGTCTTTTGGAGGTAAGGTGGGCGGGTGTGTGTGTGCTAGTCTGCCCTGCTGCTGCTACAGGAAAACCATAAACCACAGCTGTAGTCTGAATAGTGACATTATTTACAGTTGTTTTCTTGATGCATGATAGTCCCTCCTCACACTGCCAGCTTTTTCTACAACAAGAGGAGGGTAGTAGGGAATTACTTTCACTTAGTTATGTAAAATATTGATGGATTTACACTTTCTGAGCATTTCTGAAATAGAGGTGGGCGGTATTAAGAATTTTTCATGATGCACGAATTATGATAAGTTGGGAAAAACAGAACCAGTGATGCAACATTTTGAAAAATACTTTAGAAATTTGTAATAAGTTATTTTTAAACATTGCACTGCACTAAATATAATTAAACAGGGCTAATTATATACTCAGAAATCATATTGTGACATTGTGATGAAACTTATCACAGTAACGATACATATTGTCAGATTGTCATACCTTATTTTCGAATATTAATGTGTGGAAGGTGATCTAATTTTTCCTGTTACGTTTTAGTCCTTCACATTTGGTGCCTGTCTTTAATTTCATTCTGTTCTCTTGATGGCTGTATCTGGACTCACTTTAAAGCTTTAGTAATTTATTTTTTTGTCTAAAAGGATCCCAAAAAGGGAATAATGTCAACTAAGAAACTTCAGTTACTATGCTGACAAATTCTGAATATGTATCACCAAGGTTTTGCTCCTACTGTTAATCTACCAAAAAAATGTGTGTGTGTGTGGGGGGGTGTATAGTGCAGTGGTGCCCAAGAAAAAGGGGGAAAAAAAGATTAGAAATTTTAGGTCTCTTGGTCCCTTTTTGCTGTGCTGAACAGTAGATTATGTCCAGGTATTAAGGATTACTCGTCACAAAGACTCACCTGTTTGACCAGTCACACTGACGTTGACGTGCGCCCCTCACACACACAGCACCTGAAACAACTTGTCATTAACCCTGATATTGCATTACCCTGTAGTTTTATTGATTTTCCTGTGTGCATTTTCAGTGTCAATATGGATTGTAACTTGAGAATACTAGTGACCGTATAAAGTTGCCTGAACATTACGTGAACATTAAAGCTTTCCTCTTTTGAACTCAGGTAGCCCATATGAGTCATAACAACAGCACAGTGTTCTTATAGCCTATCAACAGTGGTAGACAGGCTATGGGCTAATCCTGTGTCTGCAACACGCACACAAACATAAGCCAGTGTGCAGTAATCTTTAACATGACCACAAGATGCACAAATGTCGATCAGCACTCATAAGTGCCTGCACAGTGAGGGCAATCAGATCAACTGTGTCCTGCAGAAGGTATTTTTGAAAGGTTGTTTGAGGCACCTTAAGGTTGTAACCTGTGTTACTATCAGGATGGCAAAGTGTCTTTAATCTGCTCCAGAATCCTGTGGTAGTTTGTCACTGCTTGTAGACAGTGGCTTGATGGTTTTAAGTCAGCCTGAAATCAAAGTTGACATTTTTTTAAAACCTGATTCATGTCCTTGGCCATGGTACGCACAAATAAGCATGTGACTGAAGAACAACATTCTTGTTTTTCTGTAATCTTCCACCAGAATGTTATCCACCTCTGAAAAATCTGTTTTTTGATTGTCACGATGCGCCAGCGGGCTGGGAAAATCATATTCACCAATAATATCTTATTTCACCTCCCGCTCCCAGCAACTCACCTAGCTCAGGGGCTCAAACACATAATTGCTACATAATTCTACCAATTCTAAAGAAGCAGAGGTGAAGTAAAGTTTATTTTTGTTCTGATAGTGATACCCAGTAGTACCTAGTTTTCAGGCAACAGAATAGGTTATATATATATATATATATATATATATATATATATATATATATATATATATATATATATATATATATATATACACACTTGATTTTATATTTCATTTAAAAAAGGATTGATTTACTAAATCAGGTACTGGATGATGACTACAAATAATACTGGGCTGCCACAAGAAAAAAATTGGAAAAGGTTAAACAAACACATTGATGCATAAAAGCACTATTTGTAATATTAATATTATCTGTATTTGTTGTAATTCAAGTGTTTTTCTGATTTTTAAAATAGGCTAAAACTTTTGCACTTTTGCACAGTATTGCATCTATATAGGTCAGACCATTGCCCAGTTGCCCCAACTCCTCCCCCAAGTTCTGCGGTCCATGAGGTCAACATCTGAGCGGATCATCTGGGCCTACAGACTCCCCATACATTCCAGCTGAAGGCTGCGACCAGCAGCTGCCTTCAGAATGGAACGTAGCATGTGTGTGAGCACATACAGTACAGTATCCTAATGAAAGGCGGTCAGTAAAGGCTGAAACAACACGCCCCTCTGCCAAAGTCACCCTGGTGGTTTCCCTTTCCATTTGCCCCCAAATTCCCACTGACACTTGCAGACAGCTAAAAATAGCCTGGAAGAGCGGGTCTTAGGGGGAGGGAGCATTGTGTTCACTTCACGGTCAATGGACAGAGTTACAGGTGTCTGAGAACTGGAGGGAAAAAGTAGAAAGGAAAGAACAACGTTTCTTGACTTATGTTTGAGTAGTAAAATGTATATGAAGACAACTTTTCACAACTTTTTTTTGCCTAATTGGTAAATGATAACTGTCAGTCTTCATTTAAACCACAAGGAGCTTTCTTATTTTCTCAGTTATACTAATAAGCAATCAGGAAATGTATGATTGGCTGGATACAGAAAATCATGATCAGTTAAATTATTAATCAAATTATAAAGTCAAGTAGTGGTGTAATCTGTTTTTAAAATGTCAAACAATAAAAAATAAACTTAACTAACTTAACTAATTTATTGAGTAATTGTTACAACCTTAATAGAATGCAATTGATATTCAGATAGAAGCCTTTCTCCCTCTCACTTTTGTTTACTATTAAATAAAAAGGACATGTAAAAATATATTTTCTGTTTGGGAAAATACTCCTAAGACTGTCATGTGTTGCATTCTTCTCATCAGAGTTGTCAATTTCCTGTCTCTTTCCTGTCCTAGATAATCCAGTATCAGACAGTGCGATATGACACTTTACCCTTGTCACCGCTATCCAGAAACAGACTCAGTGAGTATCTCTCTCTCTCTCTCTCTCTCTCTCTCTCTCTCTCTCTCTCTCTCTCTCTCTCTCTCTCTCTTTTCAGATGTTGGTTGTGAGCTCTGCTGATTGTCACAGAGTTGCAGTTACAGTATTACTTTTGCTACATTGCATTATGATGAGATTGGACATGATTGTTAAAGTAATGATCCACTGCAGTCTCTTTATAATTAGACAGTGACACAATGGTTTTGGTGTTTGGATTCTGCACTTCAGGAAAGGACCATAATAAAACTGATGTTTTGTACTTGGATGCAAATACTGATGACTGCCTGAACTCTGTGACCCACAAACATCATCAGACACTGGTTATCGTCCTTGGTGATGCTCTGCTTAGTGTGCAATGCAGCCATTTTTGGCTCCTGGTTTTCCTTGAGTCCTGTATTTAGTGAATAAAATTCACTGGGGTTCAGGTCCAGTTATTTATTTAGCAAATCAAAACCATTTCACTATTTTGACATGGACAAACTCTATAGTTGCTTTAGTAGCATGTATTCGTTCATTGTTCTTCTCTTCTGCTTTCCTTCACTTAGTATAGGTTAGTCTTTGTCTTATCTGCCTCATAATTCTATTTTTTTAACTCTACTTATATACTAGCAAATTGTTACCTGGTCTTTCTGTTCTTGAGGCATACAGGTGTTCTGCTTCTTGTGATAAACCCTCTGAGATCATGCTGCTAATTCTTTGCTTTATGGTTGTCTTTGCTACATTTATTGCTTAGTAGGGCTGCTCTGGTAGCACTTTTTCCCCTCCCATACCTGGTCCTCAAGTATTTGATCTTAGCTTGTCTAAACTCACTACCTGACAGTTGCCAATATCCTGATATTTATACCAATCCACTTTCTAATTACTTTGTCTGGGTTAAAGCAGTGTTCTTTGTGACAAATAAAACATACTAAGCTTGAAGAAATAGCATTTACTTATTGGATAGCTGCATATTTGAACAGTTTCAGAGCTACAGAAAGTTGCTGTGCTCTTCATCGTGGTTTATCTTTTAATTAAATTCGATATACTGAAATCTTTGCCTCCCTTCTAAATGCCGATGTTGCAGATTTTACAATGAGCATTTTTGCTGCTGTATGTCTCAAACTCAGTAACAGATAAACAGTATCAGTATTCTCTGTTTCTGATACCAACACTATTTAAGTGCCAGTACTGACATTGTATCAGTATCCATGCAACACTTTTACTTGGCTAAGTATCTAGCAGTCCTTTCCCAAAACATTAAAAATGGAGTGCTGTCTGTTGCATCTATAAAAATACCTAAAAGTGTATATGAACATAGATGTGAGCAAAATACCAAACCAGCAAACAAGTGTTTCGACAACAGCAGATGCACAGAGTCACAGTAAATGCAGCAGGTTGAATAGGCCTGAATGGATAGTTGTTGACTGATAAGTACTGCTGGCAGGCAGAGCGAAGAGGACCTTTGTTTTGTTTTTTTGGTTTTCAGCAGTCATAGAGACACCACTGCATACAGAGAAGGGAACAATGTGGCAATGTTTATTGGTTGTTGACCAAGTGTGTTTGTGTGTGTTTGCAGACACAGTGAAGCGGAAGATTCTTGTTTTAGACCTCGACGAGACGCTCATTCACTCTCATCATGACGGGGTTCTGAGACCGACCGTACGGCCTGGCACTCCACCAGACTTCATCCTCAAAGTAAGATTCTCTACTGAGGAAAAATGAATATTAACTCATTACATATAGAGATGACACGATACAACTTTTTATTTTCTGATACCGATACCGACATTGAAACCTTGAGTATCGGCTGATACCAATTCTAAGCTCTTGGATTTTTTTAAGGTTTAAAATTAGCTGTTTTTAATTAGAGCACTGCACTTAGATGACGATCTAAATGTAGGTTATCATGCTGAAGCTACTGAAACACTCTACTACCCCACGGGAAGAAATACATGGCTAACAACATCACATCACACAATGTGAGTGTGTGTGCTATTTCGGGATAGATTTGTTACAGGATTGTATTTGTTTTTTTCCTCCAATCCACCATTTTATGCCGTGGTTGGCCCGGTACCTAGTATTGGATCAGTGCTATCTCTCATTATGTAGAAACTAATGATGCTTCTGCATCTGCACAAACACTGACCTACCAGAAGGGGTCAGGTATCAGGCACACATGACCTTGTTGTTAGGTTGTTCTTAGAACACACACACAGTTGCTCTAAAATGGAAGGCTTTTCTTTCCAAAACGCTCAAAATTCTCAGTTCTCCACATTCAGGTAGTAATCATGAATGAGCCCAGTGCAGGAGGGCTTTTTTAATTTTGTTGTGCTTTACACCTGCTTTGTCAGAGTTTTACATTTTGATCAATGTAAAAGGTCAGATTTTGAGATGTCTACAGTGATCATAAATAAATTAGAGAAATATGTCTGAATATGAAATACTGATCCAGTGTGTACAGGTTTTAAACTGAAGAAGGAAAAAAGTGTCTGCCAATATCCTGAGTTCAGGTATTGGAATCAACATTGAGAAAGAGAGAGAGGATGAAGTCAGATTGCTCCATCCCTAGTAAAAACCACACAATTGCACAGTATTACTACCAAGACAAGTTTGTTGTCCGAAGTTTGCTTCTTTAGTCTGAAAGTTAAACTGTGGCACTATTGTAGCTAACTATAATGGAAACTTATACTCCACTTGTCAGCATTGTGCAAACTACATGCCTACATCATCATTTCCTCCTAGTACAATGCTCTATGATGGTGTAGGTCATGTTGGACTTGATTTCCATGGGAAATTAATTATTGACAAACTTGACAGTATTATTTATTATCATAATTTACCTATTTCTGGCCATTGTTACTTCATTGCATTATTTTCCTGCTTCCCAGCCAGACTTTATAATAATGTGTTTAGTCTTGACCTTTGTTGCTGCATTACAGTATATCAGCACTTTATTATGTTTTATGTGCTGTAATACAACAGATTCACTTCATCAGCTAAATATCAGGCAGATTATCCTCAGTGGCCTTTTTAAAGAGAGGATTACACTGTTGATGTATGAGAGAAAGTTAAACATGGAATGGAACATTATGGAATATTATAATTTGTACATTTCTGTTGGCCAACCCCCAATTTCTCCCTGTTTGAAAATATTCTTGCTTGGGCCTCTCAGAGTGGTCCTTTGATCTTATATTGTGATATCTGGATGTGTTTCAGCAGCAGTAAACTTTATCAGTAAGACTTCTCTTTTTTTTCCCCCTCTCTTCCCCTTGTTTTGTGTTTAGGTTGTTATAGACAAACATCCGGTCAGATTCTTTGTGCATAAAAGGCCCCATGTGGACTTCTTCTTAGAGGTGGTGAGTCAATGGTACGAGCTGGTGGTGTTCACTGCTAGTATGGAAATTTACGGCTCTGCAGTAGCCGACAAGCTAGACAACAACAAAGGCATCCTGAAGCGCAGATACTACAGACAGGTAACCAGCACTACAGTGATACAACAGTGCTATTTACAACCCCTTTTCCAAAAAAGTTGGGACGCTGTGAAAAATGTAAATAAAAACAAAATGCAATGATGTACAAATAATTTAAACTCTATATTACATTGAAATGCTTCAAAGACAACATATCAAATGTTGAAACTGAGAAATGTTATTGTTTATTGAAAAATATTTGTCCATTTTGAATTTGATGCCAGCAACATGTTCCAAAAAAGTTGGTGCAGGGACAACAAAAGGCTGGTAAAGTTGTGTAAGGCTAAGAAAACACCTGGTGGTTAATTGGCAACAGGTCAATAACATGATTAAATATAAAATGAGCATCCCAGAGTCTTTCAGAAGTAAAGATGAGGAGGGGTTCACCACTCTGTGAAAGACTGCATGAGCAAATAGTGCAACATTTCAAGAATAACGTTCTCAACATAAAATAGCAAAGAACTTTTGCTTTTCATCATCTCCGGTACATAATATCATTGAAAGATTCAGAGAATCTGGAGAAATCTCTGTACGCAACGAACAAGGCCAAAAACCAGTATTTGCTGGCCATGATCTTTGGGCCCTCAGGTGGCACTGCATTAAAAACAGACATGATTCTGTAGTGGAAATCACTGCATGGGCTCAGAATGATTTCTGAAAAACCACTGTCTATGAAAACAGTTTGTCGCTGCATCCACAAATGCTAATTAAAATTCTTAAACACAAAGAAGAAATTATATATAAACAAGATCCATGAACGCTGCCACCTTCTCTGGGCCTGAGCTCATTTAAAATGGACTGAGGGGAAGTGGAAAAGTGTCCTGTGGTCTGACAAACCGAATTTTGAAATTGTTTTTGGAAATCACGAACAATCAGCTTGTTATCAGTGCACAGTTCAAAAGCCAGTATTCATGATGGTATAGGGGTGCATTAGTGCACATGGCATGGGTGACGTGCACATCTGTGAAGGCACCATTAATGCTGAACGATATATACATGTTTATGCTGCCATCCAGACGTCTTTTTCAGGGAAGGCCTTGCTTATTTCAGCAAGATAATGCTAGTCTACATTCTGCATGTGTGTAACAGTATGGCTCCATATTAAGAGTCCAGGTGCTAAACCGACCTGCCTGCAGTCCAGACCGGTCACCACTGAAAACATTTGGCACATTATAAAATTAAAAATATGACAAAGGAGACCCCGAACTGTTGAGCAGCTGAACTCCTATATCAAACAAGAATGGGAAAACATTTCACTTTCAAAACTACAGCAGTTGGTCTCCTCAGTTCCCAAACACTTACAGAGCGTTGTTAAGAGAAGATGTGATGAAACACAGTGGTAAACATGCCCCCAGCAGTAAACTTTTTTGGAACTTGTTGTTGGCATCGAATTCAAAATGTGCATATATTTTTCAAAAAACAATAAAATTTCACAGTTTCAGCATTTGATTTGTTGTCTGTATGCTATTTTCAATTAAATATAGGGTTTAAATGATTTTGCACATGATTGAATTTTGTTTTTATTTACATTTTGCACAATGTCCCAACTTTTTTAGAAATGGTGCTGTATATAAACTCATTGGTAGTGATTTGTTCTTTGTCTTTTTTCCACAGCATTGCACACTGGATTTAGGTAGTTATATAAAAGACCTGTCCGTCGTACATAGTGACCTTTCCAGTATAGTAATTCTTGACAACTCACCTGGTGCATATCGCAGTCATCCAGGTAGGAAATTCTCGGTTGATTACACAGTCTTTCATGCAGTCTACTTTTATTACTGTTCTATTTCATGTAGACGTATGGCATTTTGTGTAAACAGTTGTACAGGAACATATGTGTCTGCTTCAGAGGGTATTAAAAGCACACTATTGCTGATGTATCAGTTCACATATTGACCTCCTGTATGGGTCTTCTGTATGATTGACAGCTCAGACAGAATTGGTCCATGTGCACACGGTTTGAGGGTTTAATTGAGACAGAACAAAAGCTAGTCAACTAAATTTTGTGTCCTATCGCTGGGATGAGAGTTCAATTCCCAGCAGTGCCATTTGTGGCCAGGTGTGTACTGCACTAGAGAATACCACGACATGCAGATGAGTACTGCACTACAGAATACCACATGACATGAAAAAATTAACATATTAAATGCTAGTTTTTAGGCCAAAACGCCCCTGTAACTGAAAAATAAAATTACAGATTACAGTTGCTAAAGTTTGCATTTTCTGTAGCTTTAGTATCTCTGTTGTTTCTGTATAGCAGTTTTGTACTACACACCTTTTTTCCTCTTTATTCCCACAGACAATGCAATACCTATAAAGTCGTGGTTTAGTGATCCCAGCGACACAGCACTTCTTAACCTGCTGCCAATGTTGGATGCACTAAGGTGATGATTTAAACAGTTTCCAAAAAAAAAATCAAAATGTGGACTTGGGCAAAACTGAACTTCATTGTCTGTTCTAATAAACTGTCGTCGGCTTGCAGGTTTACTGCTGATGTCCGGTCTGTCCTTAGCCGAAACCTCCACCAGCATCGACTTTGGTGATTGTCCAGCTGAGAGACTTTTTTTCTTTTTCTTTTTCTTTTTCTTTTCCAACTGCTTGAGCAGCTCCTCGTCCTCTCCCTCAGCGCTGATGGCACCTTCCCACAACACCTAGTCCGAGGGTGACTTGACGAAGGTCCAGATCTGGACTGAACATGTTTTAGGAAGGTGGAGATGGAAGCTTGAAGAGGACTGGGAACATTGTCTCAATTTTTTTTCTTTTCCTATAGTGTTTTTTTTCTTCTTCTTCAGAATGGACATCTCTGCCTTATAGTTCTCTTGGAGGGGTTATGTCTGAGAGGGTGACTGTTGTGCACGTATGCGTGTGAAAGAAGCCAGTAATTTTTTTTCTTTTTAATTTTTGACAGTACTGAATGAATGAATACTGATGCAACAAAGATTTTTATTCAGAATGTCTGGTTTGGGCCCTATACCTCTAACTGTTGCGCAAATAGGGGTCTGCTGAAAAAAAGGATCCACGTCCTACAGGCACTCTGGACATTTTGGTGATGTTTAATGGTATATATATCTATTTTTTTTTTGACAGTGACCTCTGCAACCCAGCTGAATTCAGGGTCATTTTAATGCTGTTGGGATATTGCTGAGGTACAGTCTTGAAAGACAAGTATTTAATGATTTATGTATAAGCAGACTGTTGGTAATAGCATATGGCAAATGTGTGGGATGTTTTTCCTTTTTTCCTCCCAGACTACTCTGCTGCAAATTCATAATCATTTTCATACCTCTGGTCATTTTATTCTTGTTCCACATTCAGTAATATAGAACCTAATGGAGAGCATTAAAAGAGTTAGGTGACCAGCACAGATTGTTTCTGGTCATTGAGCTGCAGTTCTTCAAAAGTAAAGATAAAAATGTAATCATAACCTGAACTTATAGAGACTTGCAGTACAATAAACGTTGTGTTGCAAGCCTGTATAACTGTATTGAACAGCTGACTGAGCAGTCACCTCTGACTTTTATAGTCGATGCATATCCTGTTGATTTTCTCTGTTCACCTATGAGAGAAATTCTACTCTTGATGAATCATAAGGCAGCTCCCTTGGACACCAGTCCTCAGATCTGCACGTTACTAATAAAACACGTGTCAGTGTCAAGTATGGCTTTCTTTTTTTTCTTAGTTAGGTTGTTTCCTACAGAGCGCACATTGCACTAATTATTGTGCACTGTGTGCTCTGTGATTCTGTAGGCCAGTGATTCCTAATCCTGGTACAAACCTTTCAGAATCGCGCAGACTTCTGCTGGGCTTTCAGCTTGGTATTCCCCCCAGTAGCGAACCATTTGCGCATACGCATTTGTTATAAATGTCAAAGAGGTAAGGGAGCTTTGTCCACTGCCTTTCATGGCAAGCAGTTTTATCTTTTAAAGTTTCCTGACATCAGAAATTTAATTTGAACAAGTAAAAATGTAGTGGTGGAAGTGTTTTATTTTTACATGTAAGAACTACATTTTTTATATTTTTATTCAGTTAACACTGTTGCTGTCAAAGCCTTGTATCGCCAAAATAGCAACTTTTCAGGAGAAGGGAAAAACTTTTTCACTTTAAATAAAAGTTAATGGAAATGATATTTTCACATTATATAAAAAAATTAAAAACTAGTGATGCAAGGTTCTGTTCAAACAGAGATATGTTGAATTCATACTATATGGGGGGGAAAAGTCCTAACATTAAAATGAATTAGGGGAAAGGTCATGAATTCTTAGTAGTGATAACTGAATTCAAACGTTAAAATAAATTCTAGCAAAAGCTTAATTTGGACGTTAGACGTGTTTTTGCGCGTCTAATGCTTTTTATAGTACTGTTAAAACGTTTTTTGTTCAAGCTGAGTTTCTGATAACATAAAACTTTGGATCAAAACTGCTTGTCAGAGCTTCTTCAGTTTCGCTGGTCTGTAAAGTTGACAAATAAGGTATTTGTCAAGTGAACCTTCTTGGAGCTTAACAGAACAAGCTGATTGGTGTGTCGGAGTCTCAGAGCTGGATCCTCAGTTAGCCCAAAGATGAGGACTGTCCAGTGGAAATGTCTCCTTAACTCTGTTCCTTTTGGACAAACTTGACATTAGACTTAGATTATCTGGCTAAACTGAGAAACCCTGCTTTGTGAATTACCCCTCAGGTCAGGTGTGCATTAGATCACATGAAACTACGCAGTAGGGTGATGGCCGTGATGCAACATGCTGAAAGGAACGTTCACGTGATGCTTCTTCCTTGTTAATGAATATAGGCTATATTTTGAGGCGACGTTAATGAAGATATAAAAGAGGTCACAGTGGGTTTCAGTGTCGTTCATGAACGTTTTTAACAGCCCGTGTAAGTCTCCGAGCCTTCTCCTTCGCTCAGGATCACTCGGTTAAGACGAGGCATCAAAACACCGACCGAACCGAAGAACGACGTCAACACGCCCTGCGCTCTCTGACGGCTGTACGGAGACCAAGAGAAAGTAGTACCTGCTCTGGTATTACAGAGAAAACGACACAAATCACGATGTAACCTCGCTGTATTCAATTATCTTTTTCGTATATGTAGCTTTAAAGAACCGACGTGTGGTTAGAGTCAGCAGTGATGAATTTTTGAGAAAACACTCATCGACGCAGCTGTTGTTATTGTATTCATCCGCGGGGTTACAAGGCAAAAAAACCAGCTTGGCAAAAACAGAGCGGAGCGCTGCTGGTAGCTGTTTCAACTGTGTTGATTTGTGCCATCTGTAAGCTCCGTGTACAACCGACGATTTATTATACTGCAAACTCCTACATCTCGCTGCGATGAAGTTCCAGTACAAAGAGGAGCATCCGTTTGAGAAGAGGCGATCGGAGGGAGAGAAAATAAGGAAGAAGTATCCTGACAGGGTGCCTGTGAGTATCTAGCGTTAGCCAGCCTCGCTACACGAGCCAGGGTGTTTCTGTTAGCTTTAGCTGGCTTAACTCACCGCTTCGTTATGTATAGAACCTAAAAACAACATAGATTGGTTGGCTATTCTTGTATATATACGTTTAATACGATTAGTATTGTCAGGAACGTTTGTCCGAAGTTAAACAGTAGCGTGAAATCTGCGTTAGCTAACCCTAGCTAGCTGGATGTCCTGTTAATTAGCTAACGCTAATGCGTCAATCGAAACTGAACAGATAGCTAAGGACGTGGCGTCCGGGGCTGCGACCCAAAATCGTTCGTTAACGGCCCTTTACCAGCTGACCGGAGACCAACAAGCCTGTCCTCATGTAGAATAATAATTTTCCGATTAATGCAATAAGGTAACTAACTAAATAAGTTATCTAACCTACTAAAGCTGAAGGCTGGCCCGATAGGAGCTCACCTAACGGGAGAACAACACACTGCTAACAGCTTAACTTTATTAAATTCGTATTGGTAAATGGGTATCGCTAACTAGCTAAATGGTAGTTAAATAACACTGTCAACAAAGATTTAATAACTGCTGTGCAATGCTGGCTTGTTCGACCACAGCAGATGTCAAATCTAGATAAAACAGCTCGCTTTGTTTGTTTTGTGTAAACTAAACCGAGCCAGCTAGGTTAGCTCACCAAGGTGGTGCCATTTTTGTATGTGTGTAAAAATAATGTGGGTAGATGATGGAAATATGTTACCCCCATATTTCTCCTCCCACTAGGCTTCTATTTGAACGATGATAAAAACCTTGCAGATTACCTTGCTGTTATTCCTCTTCTTTATAATTAAAATATATATATATATATATATATAATATAGTTATAAATATATATATATATATATATATATATATATATATATATAGTTATATAGTTATATATCGTGTCTTGCCAAGGCATTCTCACTGGGTACAGTGTATTTACTGAACCATCATCTCTCATTTTATTGATAAATAGAAGCGTATGTTACACCATCAGGTAGGGCATTTCCCCAGGCTGTATAGATTCTGTAACAACAAGCAAATCCTGGGGTTATTCCAGTTTGCGCTTGAATGTCTGAAACAAAGTTTGATCACTGGATATATGTATTCTGTGCAAAGATCCATATGCTGTTTACCATTATTTACCACCACCATAAATAAACACATGCCAAGAATTCCTTGAGCTATGGAATCATGCAGTGGCAGCACTTGGTGTAACTAAATATGTAGAGGCAAAAAGAATATTTGAGTGTAAATGTAAGTACTCCTTCAAGAAGTAAAAAAAAGAGTAGGTCATTTTGCATTACATTTTTTCAGGATTGGTTAAAAGCACTAATTTTCCAGACCTGGAAAAGTATACATTTAGAAAGAAATGTAGCCTAATACATGTCTGATTGCTTGTTGATCCAGTTCATGGCTTTCACAAATGGCAAGAAAATGAACACTTAATTCAGTCTAGTTTCTTCATGAGGAAAGTGTAAGAACCCTGTTTTTGCTGACCAGCCATGTGGTTGTGGTCATGTTCCATATTTACTTATGTAGCTGAGGTCAGTGTACACAACCTAAATTGGTGTAGGGTGCTCGTGTAAGGATTGTATGTACATATATTGGAAAAAATGCAGTGAAGTGAAAAAGCAAAATACTTATTTTGAGACTATTCTCAAGTAAAAACACCATCAACTAATGGCAAACTATAGTACTTTTAATAAGTTGATGTCAACAATTGTGAATATAAATGTAACCAGTTCTGTCTAAGGCTTATCTCAGCAGTGGATGAAGCTGTTCCAGTCTTGTATCATAATTATCAGACCTAATTGGTGATCTTTTGTTTTTTTTTTTGCAAGGTAATTGTTGAAAAAGCCCCCAAAGCCAGAATAGGAGATTTGGATAAGAAGAAATACCTTGTCCCCTCCGATCTCACAGGTAAGCAGTGCAGCTTTACAGATGTATAAATACCAAGTCACATAAAGTGAACCAAGGTTAGAGATTAATTCCCCAAAGACTTAAAGATCTTAAAACAGAACATAAGTTATTGTTCATAAATAATTAATAAATGTTGAATGAATGCTAGTATAGTGGTACTCTTGAGTAGTCCTTGACTGTATTGAATGCTGAGTGCTGTGATTAGGTGTGGGCATTATTCAGCAGTCACTGCTGGAAAGTAATGACCCCTCATCGGCCAGACAGAACTGATTATTCAGGATGGCCTTGGAATAAAAATGATGGGATATATTGGTATTCTGTTCACATCTTTTTATATCAGTCTTCGTGTCTGTCAGTAGTCTTATTATCATTGTTATTTTTTTGTGTTTCACTGCAGTGGGCCAGTTCTACTTTCTCATCCGAAAACGAATCCATCTGAGGGCCGAGGATGCTCTATTCTTCTTCGTAAACAACGTCATTCCTCCTACCTCTGCAACCATGGGCCTGCTATACCAGGTATAAGCTCTCTCTCTCTCTCTCTCTCTCTCTCTCTCTCTCAGTCCGTCCTTCTCTCTCTCTCTCTCTCTCTCCCTCCTCCTCTCTATCTCTCTCTCTCTCTCTCTCTCCTCTCTCTCTCTCTCTTCTCTCTCTCTCTCTCTCTCTCTCTCTCTCTCTCTCTCTCTCTCTCTCCTACCTCTGCAACCATGGGCCTGCTATACCAGGTATAAGCTCGCTCTCTCTCTCTCAAATAATATCTCTTATCTAATATCAATGCAACAATTCAATCTCTTCTTTTCCCCTGTTTCCAGGAGCATCATGAAGAAGACTTCTTCCTCTACATTGCCTACAGTGATGAAAGTGTGTATGGAGAATAGAACCAAAGGAGCAGGCTAATTTCACTCCTCCCTTACCTTCCTTTTAAAAGAATATATAAACCCATATCGGCAGCCTAGAGTTCTCAGAGCTAAGACATAAGATGCACTTTCGCCGTCTCTTTTTGTAATTTCTTTTTACGTCTCCTCCTTCATTCTGCCGTTTGCTTTATTTTGGGTTTTCATTACACACAGGTTTTGGCAAGTCATTTTTCTTTCTTACAATCATGGTTCCAGACTGGCCCCAAGCAGCAGCACCTGATGGAGATGGATAGTACTTGAAGGATATCTTATTTTGCCTAGATCTTCAGCTTTATCTTCATTTTACTAAAGCTATTGAATTATTCTCTCCTTGATCTTGAAAATATATATATTTTTGGCCCATTGCACATTTGAGGTCTGCTAGCACCTGCTAAGCAGTCAGTTATAAAAGCCAGGCTAAAGTTAACATCTTTTTTCTGCTCTCCAGTATGTGGTTTAATTACAATCTGATATTAATATTTAATGTTACTTATTCTTGTACCTAGGTGATTTTTAGGTGGCTTGATTTATGAGATTGTAAAGCTTTAAGAATTGATTTAGATTGCAGGTTTTTTGTTTTGTTTTTTTTTGTTTTTGTTTTGTTTGTCATTTGTTTTTTTGAACTCGGTATTCAGCTGCATTTCTGGTACCCTTGACTTGTGGTGACCATAAAAACTAAACACATACAAACTGTCTACTGTCTCTCTGTTTCGTTATTTGTTAAAATAGATTTATATTATTTGTTTTCTGCTTAAGCTGTTTGTTGTCTGCTGCACAGTGGCACGCTACAGTCATATAATCAGTTTATTAGGTACACCTACCTTGTATCTACACTCACTCACCAATCCATCAGACACTCACTCCTACCTTATAGGACCTCCACCCCCCACTTACTACCTATCAATGCAAACACAGTTGACAAGATGTTTTTTGAGTGGTGGACTATCCTCAACACAGCAGTGAGTCTGATGTGGTGCTTGCATGGTAATGTGTGTTTTTTCATAAGTATTTACACACCTCTGGTTATTTGCTGGGTGGAGAACAGTCCACCAACCAAAATATCCAGCCTACCGAGATCTAGGACTAGAATGACTAACAAGCTGTGCATGGAAAAGAGGAGATGTAGATTCTAACTGTACACCTATGTCTTGTATCTGCTAGTTATAACGCCTTTCATGAGTGGGTGTGTTAAAGCAGGGAATAGTGTAGGACGCTGTGAAGCAACATACAGGTTGAGCACAATTCCTAGCTCTCTATGCCTGTGTCAAAACCTCTTACAGCAGTCATTTCCAGTCACGATGCACCCACTGTACCTTAGCTATTAAATGAGAACTGTAGAGTTTACAGCCTGTGTTTGGTGTTTCATTGTACTAAGCAACAGTCCTCTTCTGCTGTTACTGTCCAGACATACCACATTAACTCCCATTTCTAGGTTTTAGAGCTCCAAACACACAGGTGAATTCTGATAGATAGGTTTTAGATGATTAAAATATGTTGGCCATTGTACCTACTACACTATCCTTAAAGTAGAGTATTTAATAGAACTTACATGGTCTTTTTACAGCCCATATCCTTTTGTCTTATCTTTTTCTTGAGGTCCACTTATGTTTGTGTGGTTTTACTTACCAAAACCAGTCACAGTTCACTTTTACATGACCATTTTCCAGCTTCTATTGGGCAGAGCTGAACGGTTGTAGGTCAAATGCTTTATAAGCTGCCCATCATTATTGTGCTCATACCATGAGTAGGCCTACTGGTGAATTGGCAGCCGGGAAAGGGTGTCGAAAATACGTTGTCACAGTATGAACTACAAATCCCAAGAATCCCGATCACACTTCCGGTTGGTGGCTCTCGATAAATATCAAAACAAAAGTCCTAAATGTGACGATTCCCCTGTAGTGTAAAACCATGGAAACGTGACGCTGAGTGCAGGTTACATCGTGCTAGTTGGAAAGGATCAAGTCAAAGTTTCTGGGGACAACTTTACCTTTTGCATTGCTCGCGACAGTAAAACTATGGCCCGGAAAGCCCTCAAAGTGGTCGTTGAACTGCACGTTAGAGCGGTAAGGAGATTTTATCCTCACTGTTATCCAAGCTAACCTTGACCGGGAGGAGGAGAAATAGCAAAGCTTATGTACTTAATCTGTAGTAGTTAGTTAGCTAGTTAGCCACAGATCCCACAAACTAATGCTCGGTAATAAATGTTCTGGATCCTATTAATTAACGTTACAGTAAAATTGCAGTGCCTGGTTTTAGAATAATAAATAACAAACACATTTTTAAAGTGTTAACTAGCTGGGGTGTAACTTTATCTTTTGTAGTTTTTAAGGCTCAACATTGTGTTTGCAGATCACCTGTCCTGGAGTCCACTTAGCAGCCAAAGATGACATTTACCTCAGTGTGTCCCTCTTGAACCAGTACAGAAAATCTGAATGTCTACCTGCAGTGTTCCCATTACTGTTTCGAATGAAAATAAGGTTTGAAAAGGTTGGATGACTTTTATTGTTGTTTTATTGCAAACGGTGTGACCCTTGATAAAATTTGGAAAGCATACATGGACCTAAAGACTTAAATGGACTTTACATTGACTTAAAGCAGTTTACTCTGCTTTGCTTTTCTTACAGATATTCAAGTATGCCAATGATCCTGCAGCTATTGCTGAAATCTTACAATGTACACAGTGATTTCACTTTCTATAGGTTGTTTTGCAAAAAAAAAAAAAAAAAAACAAATAAAAAGCTGTGTTCCACATAATCTCTATTGCAAAGACAGCAATAATGTTCATGTATAGAAATAGACATATAATCATGTATAGAAATCAGTGTGCATTTCTAATATTGTTGATGCGATGCTGTTTTTGTTTTTTTTTTTTTTTTTGTTTTTTTTACAGGTGAAACAGTCAAAATTGAGCTTATACAGTTGATTCCCCCAGGTGAATTTTGTAGCTGACACTTAATGTTACTGTCACTGATAAAAAATGAATAATGGTCATATTTCTGTGAGAACATCAGGAAGATAAGAGGTCATAACATGTCCATCTTTTTTTGGTTTGCAGTTGGGGAAGTACTGGCCAGTTATGAGGAAAATGCCAGAAGTTTTCTCTTCCCTGAACCTAAATTGGTCCCGTCTTTTTCTGGTGGAGACCGAGAGGTTCTAATGACAAGAGACCCAGCTTTTCCTGTGAGATAAGTTCTGACTGTAATTACACTGTCATAAGTCAGAAAAGGGTAAATCGATATTCAAGAGCTCATATCCTACATTTTAGCACCCACTGTTTGTGTGTTTTCTGTGCCAGTATTTTTTTTTTTTCACATGACCATTTTTGGGTCATGGGTGGACTAACCAGCTGTGGGCTAAGAGTAAATAAATGTAAATATGATTTTTGTGACATCACAAAATTAATGAAAACATAAATTAATGCTATACATAGTTTTTTTCCATGTATGGATTGTATAGACTGGGGAGTGAATGGTACATTTTCAAAACTTTAGCATATTTACATGCTGCATCCAGCTCTTTTATTTCAAACCAGTGAAGAATATTCAGTTATGGGCCCCTTTAACCGTATTAAGGATGACAGCTTACCTGTTAGCACAGAATAGATATTTTTGGGTTTACTTTATTTATGATGTGCTTAAGGCAGTCCAGCGTAAATCGTCTTGCTCCACAATCTGGTGTGTATAATAAGGTCTATTGATTTTCTCTTTAGTGTGCTTCTAATTCTTCATCCACAGGGCATTTCTCCAAGGTTAGAGTTCTCTACACGGACGACAATCAGCGAGTGCACAGAGAGAGATATTTTCCAAAGCGTCCCTGTGGTACAGTTTTATACTGTTTTTAAGTATATCAAAATATGTTCCTCAACATGTTACCTTCTTTAACACAGACCATGATAACTGTAATAACCATCCACCATCAGAAACATCTACCTTGTACTTTATTAAGACTGCTAACCCTGTAGGTCAACTACATACAAACGACATACATATGCACAAGTTTGGGCACCCCTGGCTAAATTACATGTTTTGTTGATTTAGAACGGGTTTGCCAAGTAAGACCTAGAGAAGTGCTAGAAAATAAATAAAATAAAAAAATAAAATAGTGTTACTACATTAAAATGACATACAAAGTGATAGGGTTTTTTTTCTCTGTACATAATTAAATAATTTCTGCATGAATAAAATATTGCAGCAATAATTGTATAAAACTGAAAAAAAACTGAAGGACAAAACTGTGTTGATGTAATGTATGAAACATGGATTATTTCAGTCATTCTTTAGGAGATGATGCGTTTGATCAAGTGAATTAAATAAAATGAAATTGCTTTTTTCAGTGCACAACATTAAGAAAATGTTTCATATAGAGTTGACGCAGAAGTGATGAATTTCAGTTGCCCTTGCTATAGGATATACATGAGTCTAATGATTAGGAAGCTAGCTAGACAGCGCTATATTTAACTAAAAATACTGTTAACTGTAAAAGAAAAAAATAATTAGTTAGCATGATAAATGATTATAGCTGACAAAAGCAGATTAAGCAGATTAACCTGTCACATTATTATATAGTGCCATCAAACTCTATGAGTGGTATAATTCTTATAACTGCTTGGTAACAACCCCAGTGGCAGACTTTCACCACAAGCATAACTGAAGCTTTATTGATGATGGCTCACTGATGATGGCTGAGTGTCTCACTTATGGTCTCGTTTTCTACAACTGGGGTGGCCAGAAGGGTGGCCCTGCTTCACTTTAGGGTGGCACTGGCCACCATCCATCGGCTACCCCTCTGTTGAGGTGAAAAGAAGACAACACAACCTCTGATGCGAATTATAAAAAATAATAGTAATAATAATAAAAAGTTCTGCAGATGTTAATGCACAATTACTTTATATTAGCTTGACTGAAATTAAAATAAAACAAACAAAAAAATAAAATCATCAATGGCATGTGCAAAAGTTCTGACACCCTCCCAGTTGTTAAGTCTCAGAATGTAATTAACTCATTATGAATGCTTAGGCAGGTCAAGAGTTGTCATTAAGAATGACAATTCCAGAGCGTAATGAATTCTCTGACTCAAACTGTGCTGACACTCAACAACCATGGACTCCTCTAGGCAGCTGGCTGAGGATCTGAAAATGATAATTGTAATTGATGTCTCTAAAGCAGGGGAGGCTAAAGAAAGATATGAAAGCGCTTCAAGCTCAAATTTTCCTCTGTTCAAAATGTCATTAAGAAATTGCAGTCAAGGCAAGATCTGGAAGACCAAAAATCATTGAAAATCTGTGGGTAGAGCTTAAGCATGCCGTGCACACAAGACAGCCCAAGAATATTGCAGAACTAGAAGCGCACTACACTGACATGGCTGTGGCATAGTCATGTGTGTTGTGCTGGCTTTTACTTTGATGCTTGGGTTAAAGTGGCCTACTACCCAAAAAATGTCCAGCCAAGAGCATTTATGTTGTCAGAAACTGACCGCTGATGAGGAGCTAGCAGAGAGTTGTGATAAATTGCACACATCTCTAACTGTACACCAGCACAGTGGTTACACAAGGTAAATGTTTCTAATAAAGTGGCTTTTGAGTGAACTACATTAAACCTATGATTTCCCAAGACTTTTTTCTTACGTGATCTGTTTGTTTCATATAACTGAAATCCAGTAGGAGCAGTGACTGCAGTTCTAGTACTATGCGAATGCCATTAGATTTCACTTGTAACCATGTTCTTTATCTGTTATCAAAAGAGGACAATGACGAGGAAAAGAGGCAGGAAGGTCAGGCAGCAGAGCCGCACCTCTGCAGCCTGGAGGACCCCACAGACACCAAGGACCCGCTCACTCTCCCCTTTTAAAAGATCTGAGTCAAGCAGGACCAGCTCCTCTTCCGATACTGTACACAGACAAGTAAGTTTTGGTAGCAGATGTTAAATGAACCATTTCATTTTAACTCCGGATACAGTAGCTCCAGTTATAAACTTAATGTATTCAGTTGTTGAAGTGTATACAAGGGGCATGTTGGGTTCGGTCTCCATCCATAGTCTCTTTACAAACATGTTATAAGCAAAATCAGAAATCCAAAAAGTAAATAATTAAGTCATGTAAACATCACCTGCAGAGAGTAGGAAAAACACATATAAGCAGGAGTGAGGAGAATGAAAGTATCGACTAAAGAGGAAGGTTTTAGGTAGGGCTATCAAAGATAACATGTTAATGATATATTGCTATGACAGAATTTACTATTATAGCCCTCTCATTCAAATACAGCTTATAAATGACTTTTAAAACAATAACTTCAGCACCTTCAGCAGACGACGCTGGACAGTGCTCACAGGAAATCTGTGGATAAATCAATGAGCAAATCAACAAAAGCAATATCAAAGTGTAAATCTACTGTTCTATTCGAGAGCCTCTATTGTAGTAACAAAACACAAGCTGTATGATCACAACTTGAATATCTGAATATCTGTAAGAAAAGCAAAGCAGAGTATGAGATATTGACTGTATATTTGATATATGGATCGTTTTACCAATTTGGTTCAGAGTCAGAGTTGAAAACAACATTTTGGACTTTTAACTGACATGGACTTCAGACTAAAATCCATGTGCTGTGATTGCCCATATACTTTAATTATGTTTAATTTATTAAAATAAAGGATTGAACCTTCCATTGTGTCACTACAAAACAATCACAACACTACTAAATGTTTGGTAAAGTTTCCGTAGTGTTATGAGTGTTTCATTAATGACAATTTTGGCTAATTTTGAGCATAACTCAGAAACAGCCAGTACTTGACTAGCACACACAGCTTTGAACAGTTGTACACACAGAAAATCTCCACACAAAAAAGTTTAACTTATTACAGAAAATGTGTTTCTGTAGTGACAATTAAGGTTACACACTGATTTTCAGACCTTCGGACACATTTACTTCAAATTCAGTCTCGTTTCCTGCTCTAAAATGTAGGAGTGCAGCTCAAACAAGGCTCCGCCTATGGACTGAAACTGAGTTTTGTGTTTCGGTGGTGACATGAAAACATGGGACAGCATTTTTTGAAGTGTTTTAATTTAAAAATTAAACTCATGATAAATCTAAGTCTGTTAAATAAATAAAAAAGATCTTAAAAAACACTGAAAACATTTTTAAGGTATTATTTTCTGAAGTTGAACTTTAGGGGTTAGGGTTTGGGACAATCACCTACCAATAGAAAGTATCCTATAAATGATGATGATTTTGTATAGATATAGCTTATTACTGTATCAGTTAATGCCTATGGTTTCAATAGATCATAATCCTTGTAAGTATCTGAATACTTGATTGTTTTTTAAGGTTTTTTTTTTTTTACTACGGGACCTCAGTTTGAACTAATTGAACTAATATATCTTGTATACACAGTCATAAGTTGGAACATCCAGCCACTGTTGCCCTTACTCGATTTTGGTGATTAAAATTGTGTTCACTCTTTGAAAATCATGTGATTTTCATGTTCAGGTTCATATGAGCTCTGCATTCACATGATGTATGTTATTGCATCATTGAAAGTCATAAATACATTGTAATTAACCTTATTTTTGATCAACTTGTATAGGTGTAACAAAATGCACTGCTTTTTAAAAGGGAAATTGTGAATAATATAAATTATTTTTTTTAAATCAATTGACAGCCCTAGTTTTAAGCTGAGATTTGAAGGAAGAGAGTGAAGAGCAGAGTTGAAGACATTATGGTAAAGAGTACCAAAATTTACAGTGATATCACATAATAACAATAATCCAAATGCATGGAAAGATGGAGTGACAGTTTTTCAAATGGGGTGATTTTTGTCATTTTTAATAGCATCCCCTGGTTTCCCCCTCACAAGTTGGTCACTGATTATAATAGTGTCTGTTGGCTGTTTTGTGGTTGGTAAAACTATTCTGTCTGTATTACTTAATGGAATGAATCCATTATCATTTTAAACACTGCAACAAAGAGCTGTTAAATCATTTTGCAACATTCTCTTCATGATTTTAAGAAAGCTGTCTAAGCTCAGTCATGATATGGCTTTTGTCTAAAAAATTTTCTCCTAACATGTTATAAACAAAAGCTACCAGCAGAGGGCACATAGCTCATCAGTGACGGTGGTAGTTCAGAGAATGAAACATTCAGAACACACTGAAAATGAACTAGGAAGACTGAAAAGCTGCACCTGTATGTACTGAAAATAAACTGTAAAGAATAATAAGATACATCATTATTTCCCAGAGAAAAGGCTCATGGTCAGGGGGTAGGCGCTTATCCCACTGGTCAGCTGAGTCTGACAGAAGCAACAGGTTAAGAAGCCAGTCGACCTTTCGCTCAGAATCTCCAGGAGAATCAGGTATGAAGAGACGTGATTTTGGAATAAAGTTTTTTTATTGTCACTGTCAACATGGTTACACTGTACCCAGCATATCCCAACATCTCTTTCATTATATTTTTAATTCTCATATTTTGCGTAGGAAACATTAGAAGAAGCTACTCCAGCCATTTGGTAGGTGGTTCATTTTCATATTTTCAGTTTATTTTAAATGAACACTATGACATATGTAGTTTCATAGTAGTTACTAAGTACTTACTAGATAATAAGCATTAATAATTGAAGAAGCCTGTCATTTAAATTATTCATGCAAGGAAAAAAATCATGGTGATCAAATAAAAGGAGCTAAAGTTTTCTTACTTTTTTCTCCTTGACTGTGGAATTTTGCACCTAATTCACTGCAGAATATTACACTCCAGAATAGCTTTCAGGTTTGGAAATCCCTGCCATATTAATAAACCACTACTCTGTTTATTATTTTAGCTCCCTAATGATAGCTCCTCCTCAGACACAGATGATCTCCTTGACGACGCTGAGGAACTGGGCCAGCGTCCTCCCCTGGCGGGATATGAGAGATCCCCCAGCCCGGCAGCACTGAGTCATCACAACCCGGCAAGCCCAAGGCACAACAGGTTTGTCTATTCAGATGTGAGCACCTTCCTCTCAATCCATGTCTGTTAATTTGAATAATGTGCTGATTGTTATTAAAGGAAAAATTGGGCAAAAAATGTCAACTTTCACTTCATACTTTGTTTTCAAATAGACAAAAATATTTACAATATGTAGACTTTCAATACAGCTGTTGCTTCTATTGTCACCTTTGTGACATATTTCTATTTTTATAGATAACAGTAGGTCATACAGAAACCACCTAAGCAAATCTATTTGAGATTACTTAACTCTGCATAGTTTAAGGCAACTGTGTAATAATTTAGTCATGCAGTTTGCAAAACACTAATTAGTTAATTGGTGGTTATACATTACTTTTTGCTACATTAGCCTCATAGCTCCAGTGCAAAATTAAAGAAGCAAGCTTCAGACATCAAACATGTCTTGACTGATTGACTACACATGTGATAAGGAGAGAACTGTGTAAATTTGATATTTCGCTAAACTGTTCCTTTAAATGGAACCCTGACCATTAAGCTATAATGTGGTTTATGTGTGCAGTACTATTAAATATTTATAAACAAGGCAAAATATTTTATTCATTATAAAAAATTGATGAAATCTTTCTAGGTTGCCATTTTTCTTGTAGCACCAAATGATTGCTCTCTCTCTTGTCCATCAAGTGAGGAACAGTGAGCTAAATGCACTTGCGCCAAGTGCAACCATGTGACATCATCTCGGTGTGAGAAAGGGGATCCTACTCATAGAGGAATTTTGCCTGTTTGTCTTTTTTTTAAAATAATAAACAAAAAACACTTTTCTTTTGTCTGTACATCACATTTTAATAGTATTGAACATGTACACTATTATAAAGCATACAAGTCTTAACAGTCAGTGTTCTCTTTAAATGTTCCATGCAGAATATCTTTTGCCTACACGTCACATGCTTTCTTTATTCAGTATGTCTACAATCCCATGTTTCCAAAAAAAGTTGGGTTGAGAATGGAATTATCTGCAAATCATTTAAACCCTATATTTAATTGAAAATAGTACAAAGACAACATATGAAATGTTGAAACTGAGAAATTTTATTGTTTTTTGAAAAATATATGGCCGTTTTGAATGCCGTTTCAAAAGTTGGGACAGGTGCTGTGTTGCATCACCTCTCCTTTTAACAACACGCCATAAGTGTTTGGAAACTGAGGATACCAACTGCTTTAGATTTGAAAGTGGAATGTTTTCCCATTTTTGCTTGATATAGGATTTCAGCTGCTTAACAGTTTAGGGTCTCCTTTATTATATTTTTGTGCCAAATGTTTTCAGTGGGTGACAGGACTGGACGGCAGGCAGGCCAATTTAGCACCTAGCCTCTTTTACTATGGAGCCATGCTGTCGTAATACGGATGCCAGCATATGTTGCTTCAAAACCTGTATATATCATTCAGCATTAATGGTTCCTTCACAGACATGCAAGTTACCCATGTCATGTGCATTAGTGCACCCCACCCCCATAGTATCACGGATGCTTGCTTTTGAACTGTGGGCATGATTTTCAAAAATAATCCTGTTTATATATGGTTTCTTCTTCGCATGGCTTATCCAAGTCTTTTAATGATATTATGTACCATAGATAATAAATCCCCAAGGTCTTTGCTAGTTTATGTTGAGAAATGTTAATCTTGAATTGTTGCACTATTTGTCCACATAATCTTTCACAGAGTGGTGAACTCCTCACCATCTTTACTTCTGAAAGACTCAGCCTGTCTGGGATGCTGCTTTTATACTCATGTTACAGACCTGTTGCCAATTAACCTAACTAGTTGTGAGATGTGGTGTTTTTTGCATTACACAACTTTACTGGTCTTTTGTTGCCCCTGTCCTAACTTTTTAGAAACATGTTGCTGGCATCAAATTCAAAATGAATTCAAAATTTTCAAACAACAATACAATTTCTCAGTTTCAACATTTGATATGTTGTCTATGTGCTGTTTTCAATTAAACATAGGGTTAAATGATCCATTGCATTCTATTTTTATTAACGTTTTAGACACTGTCCTAACCTTTTTGAAAACAAGGTAATACATGTACCTTCATAATGTATCCAAAATACCAAATTCTGAATTGTCAGAGTTCTTTGATGCTGTTTATGTCTGAGAAAAACCTGCAGAATTGTTCTTTATGAATGCTGTGCCATGCAGTACAGCTTCATTTTATGTTTGTTTACTGTTTCGACAGTTCTCTCTTATGTTCCCCAAACGTGTGGGAGGAGGTTCAGGAGCGAGTCCGCAGTCTTCTCACCTCTCCTAGAGCTGTGCACAGACTGACCTACGTGAGTAACACACCCATTTACTTGCACAGATGCAGAGTAGTTTGCTGCTAAGATGCATTATAGTGACTGTGCTGTGTGTTACATATCTCTTTGTCTCCAGGGCGCCACAGAGTCTGAAATAGATGAGGTGCTAGCACGGAAGTCCATTTCACCACATTCATGAACTCCTTAAACACTGCTGTTCAGTACCAAAGCCTGGTATGTGCATAGCTGAATACTCATTAAAATTATAATTAGCGATGGCATCAATTCCTGCTAATGACAGGGTTTGGATATCGGCGGGACAAAAATAATCCAATCTGATTCTTTAACAAGTATCCTAAAGTCAAGTCAAAGTGCTGTACAGCGAATTAAACTAAATTACAAAGCATTTATGAAACAGAAACAAAAATGATCAACAAAAATAATAAAAGAGACAGGCTGACTGTACAGCATGGGAAATGTATTAGAATAAAATTTCCAATTTAAATGCAAAACGCAATAAAAGCTAAAGTAATGTAAAATAAGATACACAGGGCAGAGATAATACAGGGCAAATAAAATTACATAATTTAGGCACATTTATAAGCCAAGGAATAGAGGTGTATCTTAAGGCAAGATTTAAACTCCTAAATGGTTCATCCAGATCTCACATTTAGAGGAAAAATATCACAGAATTCCTTGCAGCGGAAAATGATGTAAAGCGTATTAAAGTAGGTCGTGTGATAACTATCGTAACCACATGTAGACTAAAAAAATAAATAAAAAAAAGAAAAAATTCATATTTTGATTGTAATTGGCTACACATGGCTAGCTACTTGTTGTTCTTATGTTAACGTCAAAGAGGAATTCAGCCTGTTTCCCGAAGTTTCTGTGTAATTAAAGTTAAGATGTAAACAAAATCATTCAGAGTGGTTTGATATGAAATGCTCTGTTCTAGAGAAACTTACTGAATGAGAATTGTTCACAGTGGTGTTGATAAGACTTCTAGACTTCTAAAGAATTAAACATCTCTAAAAGCTCCCTCACAGAAAGTTATAATATGAAATGATTACGTGAAACACACTGCCTGATGCCTAAGACATTATTTTATGATAGTTTTGAGGAAAGGTTTGTGGCATTAAACTTGTAGGATGTTATTTGCATTGGCTGTATTTGCATTGTAGACATTGCAGGGCCTGGTTCCTGTCACCACTACTGTAAAGAAATGTCTGTAGATTTCCCTTAAATGCACCATTTCACATCAAACAACTCTGAATTGACTTCATTTACATCTACCCATTTAACATTAACACAAGAACAACATGTAGCTAGCCGTGTATTCTATGAGAATTTAACTTTAACTTTATTTTAAAATTTTGTTTGTACAGTGATAATTTAGTTTAACTGAATAATAATATACTTTTTAAAGTAGTATTGACAGAAAAATATATCGGATATATTATATATATGAATTTCAGTCAGTACTAAAGATTTTAGTGTTGGTATCAGAAAAGAAAAAGTGCCATCCTGAATTAGAAGTAGTGTTTAACATGTACTGAGAATCTGTAAATAAATGTTCCATGGTATTTTAGGTGTGACAGCAAATCCATGGATACTTGAAGCTCATGATTCCTCTCTCCGGCCTCTGAAGCAACCAAAGGTCACTAACCAATTTCATCTTTGATTTACTGTGAATTGCAACATATTTCATGTAGTGTGTGCATGTGTGTACACTTCTGTGTGATGTATATTTCTCATAGTCATGAATATCTGAGTTATCTCCATCTTCTGGTATTGATTGAACGAGTTTAAAAAGCCTTTTGATTCATGAATGTTTACTTAGATAATAGTGAGAATAAAACATTAACACAGTGTTCCAGTCCATATCTGTGATTGTAGATTAACTCGCCAGCTCGTCTTTCACAGGGAAGGTTAAAAATGTGCAACCAAAAGAAGGAAGTTGGTGGGCTTTGTTTGAACCAGGATTAGGTCTTACTTGACCTGCTTTTTACATGAAAGTAATAGAACATGTACAAAACATTTACTGACATGGTAAAACACACACACACACACACACACACACACACACACACACACACACACACACACACACACACACACACACACACATACACACACAAAAATCCACTAGAGCATTTTTTTTGTTTATTTATCTTCTGTGATAGTAATAATATAGTAATAACAGTTAGAGTAATTGACATTTTATTGTCAGCACTACGAGAAACATTTAGTTGAGTTAACATAAAAATGTTTGTCGTCTTGTCTATTATTATAGGGGAAAAATGCCCCCCTTAAAACAGTGTCCATTCACTGTACAGCTAAACTGCACTGTGTATGAGATTAGCATGTTCAGAATACATAAAACTGCAGAAAATATATAGGGGAATTAAACAGCAGTATTGTTTTTATAGCACAAAAAAAAATAATCGAATAATTCAATTGCACCTACCTGGTGCAAGAAGCCCATCATCATTTGTCATCAATATTTAATAGAATGAATAATTTATATGTGAAATAATTTCTGGTCCTTGCATTCTTCAAAGCTATTGTTAATGAAGGTACAACACTAAACTATGACATTTTCAAATAAAATGTAGGTCTGTCTCAATTTGTCTTAATGATTCCGCTTTAAAATGTTTAAAACATTGCCCAGTTCTAGCTGATCTTTGCTATAGCTAGCATGTAAAGCCAGTGCTCACTAGTCATTGCAGTTTCAGTGAATAACTTGGTGTCTTTATGATAAAAATCTGACTAAATCATATTTTTGGGCAGTATTGTAAAGGGGGGCTTTTGCCCCATGTCTGGGGGGCCTTTTAACCCCAAAGGTCTAATTTTACATTCTCTTTTTCCTCTCAAAATCAAACGTGATTACCCTAGCAGGGGCTTTTGCATGGCGTACTTGCCCAGGGAGGAAATCAAACTCATGTGGAGAGCAGTGGTGTTACCCACTATATTACACCTATCCTGCATAATTGCAAGGCCAAAAAGCATGCCATTGGGACATTCAATGGAGCATAAGAGAGAATATTGATATGATAAAGACAGGCCAGGTGACTTTTGATATTTTTACATTATGGAGTTTTCAGATTTTTGCAAAATGGCAGGCGGTTTAATAATGTATATTAATGTATATAACTAACATGATGTGGTGTGCCCTATACTGTCTTTGCAATACACATTTTTTTTCTGACATAATCTCATCAAATATAATCACGTTATCACAAAAATTCATTAATGAGTTGACTCAGCTGATGATATGTTGGCAGGATAATTTGGAATGAACTTCCAAGATATTGTTATTCAAACTTATCTTCTTCATTTTAAGAAAGAAGTCCTTATGTAGATTAAAGAAACTTAAAACCTTATCATTAACTGGATTTTTCAAGGCTTTCCGCTCAATCAAACTGATAGTCATTGCAACTTTTGTTAAGTTGTGTTTCTATGACAACTCCTGCTGTTTAGTAGTTACATTCATTACTTACACTGATACAAACTGAAAGACTTCTGCAGGAGTAACACTGTGTGGAGGGCAGGCAGCCATGCGCCTGACTTTGAGCAGTCCTCAGGTGTGTCGCCTGGAAGACCATTAAGAGAAAATTATGTGCTGGTCACAGCTGGTGCACTCTAGGTAATGTCGCAGTGTCTGCTAGCACTAAGTTACACGGGATATTATATATTATGTTGATTGCTCTGGAAGCATTATGATCTATTTTTGCGCTGGCCAAGCAGCTGAAGCTTTTTTAACAGTTTAAAATAACAGTTACCTTTCTCCCCTAGCCGAAAGTGTACAGACGGTTTCATTTCTGAAGCCTTTTAGAGCAAAACTTCTTATCTCCAACATGGTTACCCTTCAGAAGAAGGGACACGTGTGTAAAAGTGTAATCTAAGTGAATGTAAGAAGATGTTTAAACAGTATGTGTTCATTTATCATGAAATGTTCACACTATGTACAGATTAACTGCCATTTTCAAATGATGGAAAAATAAACAGTGACAATGTCTGACAGTGACGAAAGGCTTCTAAAATAAATATTTCTATAGTAATCACAAAAATCAAAGCAACAAAGATTATGTACTCAGATTTGTTGTATTTTATTCATTTGTTGGTACATAACGTTACATTATATGTTAAGCTAATTTGTAAATGTAATTGAGAGTTGGACAAAAATGTGCTTTGAACAGCATATACAGTGTCTGGTTCACAATATTTTATGTCAACCGTATCACAATACTAACTTTTTCTGCCATTTCCAGTCCAGCCCACAAAACAAAAACTGTACACGTAAAACAACAAAAAAATGAACAGTAAATTGATTGGCACTATTACACAGCTATATCAACTGTAGTCACATTGAGGGCAGTCTAATAACAGTTCACACTGTAGTCCCTATGCACAAAGTGTTCCAATAGCCCTAACAGTGATTCTACAACTCAAAAATGGAGAAAAAGAAATTGGCATGGTTCCTCTCATTGAGATTCTAGCAACCTCAACAATGCTTTATGGCTACAGCTTAGACGAATGCTTTGTATGCATGAGAGAAGGCATGCGGTGGCCTCCTCTCTCAATCGATGGTACTGTTATACAGCAGTGAAGACACCTACTGCGCCGGCTATTGGGAGAAAAGAAACATAAATGAATAAAATCGTGTATCCTGGAATCATTCATTCTTTAAAGGCCACAATTGTGGTGTTCATCATATTGCTTCATGCAATATTTTAAACTTAAACTTTTTCGAAGTTCCCTTCATATCAAAACATTCAATTTGGCACAAGTTGCAAATCTAAGACGCTCAAAGCTCACAAACGACTGGCTCTTGGAAGCAAGTGCACAGACAGAACTGACAAGAATTATGACGTAAGAGAGAGGCTTCAAAGTAACCTGCTGAAAACCAGTTACAAAGCTGAGCAGTAGCGTATTGCTTTTACGTCCGCTTCTATTTTAACACTGCAGGTGATAAATATAATAGCTTCGTTAAGGACATGCGCTTTGTTGCAGTACACAGAGTATACACAAATCTGCTTGGCTGACGTTGTTTCGTCTCTTTTCAAACAGCAGACATACAAAATCACGCACGCTCGCACATATATTCAACACGCTTCTGAAGCAGGATCGGTTTTGAATATCTACATAAGCAACTGTTAGTATGAAACTGTTAAAAACAACAATGCAGGTAAGAAAAATGTGTAAAAAGTGCCTTTGCATAATTCTTGGCAACAGATCAATGCATTTTGGAAGAACTTTTTTTTTTCCTCACTTCCATGAATGACTTTCTCTGTCCGGCACAACAAACAAGAAGTAGTTTCAGCTCAAGGGCACAGCAATAAGGGGAAATGTGGAGGGAGAACAGTAATGGCAGCTATTAATAATGTCTGCGTTCGAACGTGCCCTCTGTGAAAAGGGTGTTCCCCCTCATAATGGCACTGATTTCATGAACGGTTGGTTTCCACGCTTTTGAACCCTTCTAGAGGTCATTCATCCCAAACTTCTATAACTGGCATCACAGCCATGAAGGCTCGGCACTAAAACTGTGATGTCTCAGTGAAGGAAATGGCATCAGTCTTATCCACAGTAAAGCCACCGTTGACGTAGGATTTCTTCTCGCACTCTTCGTCGTCGAGAGTGGTCTCCAGGGCGAACGGATTGGCCACATCCACATCAGAAGTGAGATCCATCCTCTCCAGCTCTCGCTTCGAGAGCTTCTGGACTATGCCAGCTCCGAAGGCATCCCCCAGTACGTTGATCATGGTGCGGAAACGGTCACTGAAAGAGACGGTGAGGAAGAAAGCATGCAGGTTTGACAGTGGGATTATTATGATGTTATCAGTGCCAATATGTAGAAATATTGTGATTATTCAAACTCAGTTTAAAAAGATGGCAATTAAAATTTACCTTATCAATGAATTGGCAGTGATTGTTTGGTTATTTTCATGATGATATATTTTTTTTATTATTTATTTTTGAGGCTTTCTTGTTTAACTGTTTCCAGTAAAGTATTTTGGAATGCTTGGAGTATTTTTGAAAGGCTATGCACAGTTTGTTGTTCCATTAAAGGGGAATTCCACAGTGTTACAAAATTATTTATAATTAAATGGTTAAGATGTAAACAAAATCATTCAGAGTGGTTTGATGTGAAATGCTCCATTTTAGAGAAGCTTACTGAGTTCACAGTGGTGGAGGCAGGAACCAGATGTCCGAGATGTTTAATACATTTGAAAGCTCTTTCACAGTTAGTTATTGCATGAATCGGTTCTGAATAAGTTGCCTGATGCCTGAGACATTGTTTTATGATTCGGGCAGAGAGGTACATGCAGCGAGCTGAAAGGCAAAATAGTACTCAAAGATAAGTAATTTTTCAGAATTACCATGTACTATTTTATAATTTTCAATATTACATATAAAAACACATGTAGGTTCACTGGCCATTTATAATAGTATATAAAATGGCTATATTTCAGTTAGATAGTGAGGTATTGTGGTAGAAAATGTGACCTCTGGTTCCTTTTACCACCATTGTGAAGAAATCTGAGTCAGCAAGTTTCTCTACAATTAACCACTTCACATCAGACAGTTCTGAATGTCTCTGTTTATGTGAATGCTTTATGCAGAAATTTTGAAATTCCCCTTCTTTGGCCTTACTTTTTGAAAATTCTGATTACTTGATTAATCATCAATATAGTTG